GTGAAATAACCGTTAAGTAGGGTCTGTGCTTCTCTCAAGTGTATCAGACCCCACCAGATGCAATTTTTACCATTTTATTTATTATTTAATATTCGTACTTCCTTGCATCCTCAGTTATTAATTTTATATCATTATTCGTTAGGTTAATTTTATTCTACCATTATGATAAAAAAACTCATTTTTAAATATATATTTTTACCTTCTTGAACGACTTTTACACGCTATGACCAATACAACCGATTGACTAGACTTAAGGTTTATACTGAAGGTGACAAATACCTCGGATATCGACCGTTTCACAACCGGTATAGTGACCACATTGACCTCACAAAACTGTAGGCATCTTTTGCCAACTTGAACGGCCTGTTTAGCTCGTGCATCCGTAGAATTTGACTAAACTTGCCTGGTAACAATATCCCACAGTCCCTTTCGCATCCGCACTTACTATTTTCCCTCAGTATCTGAACGGAAGCTTTATAACCGGCCTAAGTCTAGATGTATCTGGTGGAGAACCGTTGACTAGGTCTTGTCGGGCAAGCCCACACTCACCGTTATAATAGAAGATCGCAATTAAACAAGGCTGCTGTGGAACTTTTCCATCCTTAATAAACCCGTGGTCACCCTAAGTTCGACCGCATTTCCTACAATTTTCACTGTGCCTAAACCTTACACCAATTCACCTTCCACTGCCATCCTTATTTAGAAGTCCGTCTGTCATCGAGATGCCTAGAACGAAGATAGTGAGGACCGACAAGATTTCCTGGTCTTCATGGGAAAAAAAAAACCTTCTTTCCTGGTTGCACTAGCACCGAGGGATGTCTTGGAACGAAAGAGCTAGGGCATACTTTAGGCAGTTCCGCGTGAAACGAACGGGCGAGGCATTAAGATGCAAACAGAACTACCTATTACGGAATCTACGGAAGCTTCACTCTATCTAGGGAATTCCGTCTAAAACCTCCAGCTTAGAGTTACCTCCGCCGTAAGTCCGACGCGAAGAAGCTCGGAGATCTTGCTTGCCGTCTCTTCCAATCTTCACACCTAGAGGCTCCCGCACAACAAATTGCCATTTAATCCGTGTGCTAGAGCAGCTAGCCGTTTTAGAACGCTGTTGCTTCACAAATGACTCGGATAGTGCAAACGAGACTCTACCAGGTAAGATAAAGCGGCAGCCTAGGCTACGGGTCAGGAAGGTTAATAATTCCATAGGTTATACAATCCGACTGCCGCACACTCTAAGATCCGATCTAACGCGCAATGCTTTATACCATTGGAAGTTTGTACATCGTACGGCAGCTGCCACGAGAGCGTCACGTAATGCTGCGATCTTATGATCCTCAACATCTACCATGTTCTACGCACAACTCAACGGACATTACACTATCCACCTTGCACCTTTCAAGGTATCCATGTATCTATAGATAATGTTGACACTAAGGGTCTGCTCTGGCTTTTCGCCGGTAAGCCCATTGAAGACTGATATATAGTGCACAGTATTGCCCCTATAAGAAGATATAGCGTGATTCCTAGGCTTTCCTGAACACCTGAGTCTAAACATACTTGCTATAGCGCGGCGTAGTGTTCTGACCGGATTGGTCGCCTGTCATATAATGATATTACCTCTACTATTGGAACTACCGCGCACAGGGCACCAGCAGCTCCATGGTTCACATTGATAGAGCCTCACTGCCTATGTGCCTCCCGTCCTTCTCGAATTAAATGACTGTTAGGAAGGGAAAACCAACCACGAATGAGGCTGTAGTAATTAATGCCTACTTTTAGAAAGTACTTTGATGATTTATGGTGGTGTACTCTTTACAATCTAGCTTTACTGCTAGCGGCGTCGGTTTTCTTATCTTGGCTGGCGACAATGGCTCGGAAAAATCTTTATAGACAATATATCCAAAGAGCTGTCGCTAAAAGATAAATCATACAGTGAAGGTGAGACTTGCCTAGAGCAGCGCGTTTCCTGCCGTTTCATTTCTTCGACTTAGATGAAGAATCAACGAGCGTCACTAAGGCATTGCCCGTTTCTTGCGCGCTGGATTGTCCTGATAGGTAGAAACCCGCTTTTCCTTGCACAGTTCATCTAAACGAGCCTTCATATTCTCCTGTGTTTCCTCTAATTCTTGGATCCTGTCTTTGAGAGCTGTGGTTTCTCTTAGTAATGTCGCGTTTTCGGTCAATACGTCGGCGAAGCCATCCTGTGTAATGCCATTGATAAAGTGTTCGATTTTCCTATTCATTCTGGTTAGCACGTTGATTAGTTCGCTGGGAAAGCAGACTCAGACTCCAGCAAGGTACCGGAGCAGGAATCTGCCAGACCATGAAGAAGGCTGTGGAACTCACTTGACTCGCTCGTGAAGGCTGCCACTCTTAAGGTTAGCACAATCAAGCCAGCCACTGCACGGTAAGAACTCACTCTGGGGTTTGCTGAGTCGACCGCGAAGGATGCTGTGCTGCAGTGAACTTCAATTCAGCCACCATTCATCTCGCCAGTGGGAACAATAGGAATAAAGTATCAATATCAATATCAATTGTGAATCTCAATGCTTCCTAGAAATAAAAGAGGGTATCTATACACGTGAAACGAGCTTGCTCAAACGAAATGAATGCCAAAAGCTATAAAAAAGACCCTCCAAATCAATGTATTTTCATTTTCATGTGCGGCCAAAATGAGGCAGTTTCGAAGTCAAATCCATCAGTCATACATATTACACGGGGGAAACCTCCTTGGCCGGATCGGTATCTGGTATGCCGCCGAATGTCTGCTCATGAGGGGTCGCATTCGAATCGTGAGGAACCTCAGCACCGGCATTGGAGGCTCCATTGGGAGTCCCATTGCTGACTCCATCAGGCACTTTCTCGGGAGCCTCAGAGGGTGTGGAAGGGGCGCTGTGCTTATCACGAGCCCAGGGGTTAACGCTCGCTTGCATAGATGCGAAGCGGGTACGCGCTGTGGGTGCGCTGATATCGTCGACCCAAGGGATACCACCTTGGCCACGATTCTCTGCCCACGCTCTCTTTTCACGGCGGAGGTCACTCTGTACCCAAGGGATTGTGATTATAGTCCAGACGATGGCCCAGGCAAATGGAAGGGACCAGCCCAGCTGATTGTGCGAGTTAGTTCATGTTCGATTTGTGGTTCGGACTTTTGCTTACTGTGAATGCCACGGGTTCGTCGACTGTGAACACTACCGCGGTAATGGCAGCGGCGAATACAATAGATCCTCCACTCCAGAAGCAGTTCATTTCGAAAAGCATTCGTCGGAAATAGGGACTCGAGAGATATCGTGTTCGAAGGGCGTATCGGTACATCTGTCCACCACCACCGTCTACTGCAACCACATCCTCAATAAGAGCGTATAGAGCGGTCGGCATGACGGAGCCCTTGGGAGTAGATGAAATTCGGAATGGGGCTTTAAAGCCCATCATACGGAAGATGTCGAGAGAGAGGTAGACGATGCCGAAATAGAACATGACGGTCGGGAGAACCATGGCAATGAGACGCACTGGTGGACATGTCAGTATATGATCAGCGGTGATGACATTGCGGAGTTGATCTAACCATATGGTTCGTGAGGTACCGATCCACTGCGATCTTGTTAGCTTGTTACACGAGGTTCCATGGCGCATTCCAAACTTACACGATAAGCTCGACGGCCAAGATCAACCACACAATTGTGAAGTTGATTTGAAAAAAATCCAGCTGTGACATCCATCAGTGTCCATATCCATATGCATTTTTGAGAGAAAAGCCTACCCATGACACGCGGGCATTCAGGGGTCGAGCGCGCGAGCTTTTGCGGAACAAATTGTAAAGGCGGTAAAAGTATTCGAAGACTGAGACACCTCCCAGGGACGCGGTGACGATCGAAAAGACTGCGCGAGATGCAAATCAGCGATTTGGACGGATACAACGGATATCTCTTCCAAACATACCCACGTTATGGGATAGATCCGTCAGATACCATAGACACCAGTAAAAGATCAGAGGCTGGCCCAATGTATCGATCACGAAAATGGTCCAAAAGATGAAAATCGACTTCTTCCTTGTATGGAGCGAGTAGGGGAGCGGTGGCGGCTCGGTGTGCGTTGGGAGTTCGGAGTTCGCTAGTTCGACTTGCGCTGGCTCTTGCGCTGGCCCGGCTTGTGCTGGGACGGTTTCTTCTTCCATCAGGGCGGGACCGCTTGATAGAATTTTCAGGGGTACACGGGTTAAACCAGGGGGGATATTAGGACATGGCGTGCAAGTTTAAAGAGAAGAAAGAGAAGAGGCGTAAGACCAGAAAATTTGGCCGGAAACGACGGGGACTCGGGTACATCCGTTGCCATACAAGTTTGGCTGCGTTAGTAGGTACCTGACGTAACGTGGCGTGATGTCATCGAAAACAAACCTTGGAAGTATCTACACAGCCCTCTGATCATTCACCTTTTCGAAGTGTTTCTATACTTAATCTCTGCTATAACGTTATACTTTATTAAAAATCTTTCCTTTCCCTAATCATGTCAAATAACAATCAAGGATCACTGAAGACAATGGACACTCGACAAATCCGGTTTGCCAACAAGTGCCCCTAGAGTGATTCGATGTCAGTATGCAGTAGATATGTCGACATATAGCGTGCAATAGATTAAGAAACCGGTAATCGAGTCGAGACCGGTGCACCGCAGATCCCGACCCCGATCGTTCGTGTTTCACATCCGCCGTCTCCCGCTATCACATCCGGGATATCCTAATGCCACGCATCTTCAAATAGGTAATCGTGATATCCTGACATTTAGACGGTAAATCATATTATGTCGATGTTTTTGTCTTATCACATGGCAAGCTTTTGTAGTTTTTGAGGAAATCGAGGAAAGTACTGTAAGTTGATAAGATGAGAATTGAGGACAGAAGGCGGTGTCAGGTGACAGAAAAAGACATGGACACTTGAGCGGTGGACAGTGGCAGAAAAGGCAAACTGGAGCGACCGGAGTTCGAGTCGACAACTGATCTTTTCACCCCTCGCTTTTCTCTCTCTTTTTCCCTTCAACCTTCACCGCACCTCGCATCACTTCTTACTCGTATCAAATCATCTCTACAATTATGTAGCCATGGCACCAAGTTTACAACTTCTTATCGATTACGTGCTGAACGAAGTCGCGCTGTGCGGAAACCAAGGTGTGTATAGCTCTTCGCTCAGACCCACATTTCATCACCACGGGGATGCATGTCATCGCTTGGCGCCGAAGCATAAACGATCTATGCCGGGCCCTTTGTATACATTGCTCTGCTTTTCGGCTTTCCCGTGCTTATTATACAACCCTGCTCAAATTCCGATCTGCTCTGTTATATTTGCTAACCCACTTCAAGGCGCAACTTTATCATTTGTTCTCCAAGCCATCACAGCTTTCTATCAAAGTCAATCGCGTGATGGAACGCATCAACAGAACGTCGATCGTCGTTTCCAAGCAAAGGTCTGGAGCTGGCTCACGAAGAACCCAGAGGTGTCTGTGGGCCAAAAGACTGAATTCAACCATCTCACGCTGGACGAGGCCGAGCAGCTTGACTCGCAAGCTCTCGAGGCCGAACCAGATACCGACCAAAATCATCAATCGCACCTTCGAATTTTTGTCTCAAGGGAGCGAACATGGTTCGCTATCACTGGACACGAACCAGATGAAAGTAAGGTAATGCCGCTTGAACTCGTCCTGCTGTCAATTATCGCTTCCCGCAAGTCGGAAGGTATTGTGCAGCCAGAATTGGTCAAGCTCAGTGGCCAGGACAAACGGTCCGTTCCTACACGCACAGATAAGTTACAAGCCAAGGGATACATCGATAAGCGTCCGGTTCAGATCAGAGGGGCTCGAACAAGTCTCTGCACGCTGAAACGGTTCTTGCGCTCCACTGCCAACGAAGGGAACGGACAGTCACCGGAACAATCCCAAGCAATGGTCATGATCGATTTTGATGCTTTCAATGACAAACTATTTGACATTCTTCGAGAACATCAAATTGTTGCCCGCACTGATCTGAAACGGCTTCTGGGATTCGATGACCCTTGGCGATGGCGGATTTTGTCTCGTGCAATTCGCAAGTATGAGCGAATAGGTGTTTTGAAGCGTGTGAGAGCGAAGTCACAATACGACAAGCTGCACCCCTGCATCAAGCTTCAACGGGAGCCCACAGAAACGGACCTGAAAATGTTCCATGAATTTAAACTTGATGTCCTGGACAACAACGGGGCGAGGGATCTCGGTGACATAGACCAAGACGAGCTGGATATTGCAGGCAAACGTGAGCTTGAAGCAGACGAAGGTGGACTCAACCTGATACAAGAGCACGTCGAAGATGTCGGACGGACGGTGCCGAGTTGGAATCCAGAACGCAACACCCACAACCAGATGTTTGACATTATTGAGCGAACAGGTACCTCGGGAATGACAAACCAGGTAAGATAAATTCATTCTTTTAAGCGAACATCGAGCTAACTAAATGTATAGGAAGTCGCCCGAGCTCTCTTTGGAAACTTCTACAGGAGACCTGCAGAGAATATCTTGCAACGTCTGGTCGATCTTTGGCAAATGTCCCAACCGCTCCATCTCCGCCATTTTGCAATCGTGCGAGATATGGCAATGCAAAAGACCACCATGTTCTATGTTCATTATGCTGGACACAATTTTGCAAAGCTTGTGGAAGCTGGCCAGGCGTCCTGGGAGGCGGTCGAATTCCCAGAAAAGAAGGCTAAATCATTGAAGATTGACATTCCGCCCTTCAATGTTGTTGCTCAACTCGATGAACATGGTTTCCCTCAAAAGGAACCCTCTAAGAGCTTCTTGGAGAACCCCAACGCTACTCTACGTGACGGGATCGTCAATGCCAATCCGTCGGATTACTTGCTTTCTACAAGCGATCCATTTGTCGTTCGGCTCCCGGACGGCAGAAATGGTATGCCCTTTCCTCAAAGGTCTAATATATTGGAAACATATGGGTACATATGGCTAACAATGTCTCGCAGTTGTACGTACCCGTCTCGACAAGCTTCCTCCTGGGTCCAAACAACATATGGATGTCCGCCCGCGGTCAAAGGGGCGCCCCAAAGGCGTTCTCAACAAAAAGACGATAGCAAAGCTTGCTAAGATAGCCGAGACCAAAGGACTTGCAGCGAGAGGATCTGAAGTCAGAGAATCAGCAACCGAAGAGTCTCCACCCGAAGAATCTGCAGCCATTGAATCTTCGGTGGTTGATCCTGCAGCCTCAGAGCCGGAACACCAATCCACATCCAAAAAAGCTCCTGCTCTGGATGATTGGAATGCTATTCCACGGAAGATAAGGAAATCAGCCGCTAGAGCCAATGCATTCCAGGGAATGTCGAGGATAGAGAAGCTCAAAGCACTCGGCATGGATGAAAGCTGGACTGAGTACAAGGTTCTGCTCATGGACATGCCTGTACCTGGGGTGTACATTACCCCCCATGGGCGAAGAAGGCCCACTGGTAAGGCCCGAGGTCGACCTAGAAAGAGTCGAATTGCAGTTTTCAAATCACCAAAACTGGCCGAATTCCCTTGGTTTGTCAAGGACGACGTTTCGGATGATGAAATGCAAGAGGACAATACCTCAGCTCGCGCGTCGGAATCCGTTTCCAATGAAAACACACCTTCAAATACTCGCTGGCCCACTGTGAATTCACCCGCACCGTCGTCAATACCAAACACGAATGATCCGGAAAGCGGAAGACCCTCAAAGCGTCCTCGTCTTGGAGACGCCCAAAGCGAAACTAATCAGGTATCTTTGGAAACGCCGGAAGGAACTTTGCCAGACAATACAGCTCGAGCGAGCATAGAGGATACAACTGCAGTTACTACACCACGTCGTCGAGACAAGAGTGGTGGTAGTGTACATCCACTCGACGATGAGCAAAACCAAACGCCTTCAAAACGACGCCGTGTTGGAGCTTCCAACCCAAGCCCAAACAAAGACATCGCTACAGCATCCTCACCAGCCAAGCCATTTGAACACTTTGCACCTCGTGGAAGTCCTGCGTATCCCCAACAGTCGAATACCACCAGAAAAGCCCCCCGGCAGCATAAGAACCTTCTTAGCACGGCTGAAGCACAGCCACCCATCGCACCCCCGAGGCCTCTAATCGAGAGAGGCGGGTCGATTAGTTTCCTCCGCAGAAAGGTGATCCTGGAGCTTATGGAACGGGCTGGTGGCGTGTTCCCCACGGGCGCTGCGCTTTGGTATCCATTTGTTTCGGAATGGATGAAGGCGAGGCCCAAGGAGAGACCAGATATGCGGACCATCAATACTGCGGTCAAGGTACTGGTTGATGCCGGTCAGATTCGGCAGTTGACATTCAGTGGCAGAGACAGAAAGGGTGTGATGGTCACTAGAACATTGTTGATGAAGTCGGAGCTTTCTCCCGAGGATGCAAGGGTCAAGGATCTGCAGAATAAAATGCTAGCCACTGACGTTCACGAACCGAGGCCGAACTTCTCAGAGAATGTGGTATTGAACCCCGGATTGACAAGAAGCGGACGTCGACAAACAGGCGAACCACCCAAACAACAGAAATTCAGATTTCCTTTGGAAACTAAAGCTACGGTCACTTTACATCAAAAGCCTGCATTTGCGAAGGCCGCAGAAGCACGAAGAGGGAGAGCAATTCAAAAACGCCTCATGCGGGGCTTGCAAGCCGAGGCTGACGCTTTCATGTTGGACGAGGAGAGTGAAAGACAGTATGGAGTCCAGCGGCTTATGACAATTGCACGACCCCCTGTGCTAGACATGAATGTCCACCCGCTCACCTCGGTCATTCGCCCTGACCGGAAATCAGCCCGGAAGGGATCTATCAGGCGCCTCGATACTCTCATCAACCCCAAGCAACGCATGAGACCAATTTCCAATATCAGCCAATATGCCCTGTTAATGGCACCGGTGCAGGAGTTCCATCCAACCAGTGGCACATTTTCCACCGGCTCGTGGCTCGTGAAATCAAAGAAAGCAAAGCGCGGTATCAACCCTAAACAATTCGTCAGCAAATTGGCTGAATTGGCCGACCAGTCACAAATCTCAGACACCTTCAACGCAACAGCTGATAAGATTATGAAGTGGGAGGTTGACCACGAGGACGTCTTCAATTCCAATCTTGAGGGCATGCAATACATCAACCAAACTCTACAGGGTGAATTCGAGACAGAGCCAATCAGCGGGGAAATTCGATTTGAGATAGACATGCCTCGACCGTCGCCACTTCCAGTTCCAACGCCCATGGAGACGCGGTCGATCACTTCCCGTCGCCTACAGACTGATGATACATTCCAGCTCAAACGAAAGAAGCGACGTAAGCCGCGTCCCAACCGCCGTTTGGCCGCACTTGATGAAGTTGCAACACCTGATAAAGACAAACCCGCACCTCGCCAATTGGTTCGTCGGCAGACACGCAGTTCGATACCCGAGCAACTGCTCCGAAACATCATGATCGCCATAACAGCCGTCCGCGTGCTTACTGGTGGATTGGACGCAAGAGTTGTCGAGTGGAATCTTGTAACACGTGCTTTCCCAGAGCACGACCCATCGGCGATGGAACAAAAGGCACGGCGGTGTCTGAACAGAAATCGTCTACAGATCGCGAAGATGCAGAGGGACTTTCAAGAACGGTATCTTGAAGCCTATGAGAAGGATCTGGTTCCGACCATTGACTACAACGATTTAGAAAACTACGACTGGCCTGGTGTTGTAGAGTGGGCTAGCACTCACTTGGATGTTCCTCTTTCCCAGAGCATCCCAGATCTTCCTGCAACACGCGAACAGTTTGACGCTGTGTTCGAGCTGCGCGAGGAACCTCTCACAGCAAGCGATGAAGTCTACCAGTCCGTGCACGGTTCCACCATCAACCATAAGCGCGCTCTTATGGCCCGCACTCCATTCGCTGTTCCTGTGATTGAAAAAGAACAAGCCGGACTTACTGTACGACAGAAGGGTGTGGCACGTCTTGAGGATGCAAAGTCCTGGGTCCGCGCAAACATCATCACCTCGGAGGAGAACTACAAGTCTGCCGAGGCAGCCGACGTCCTGAATCGCATTGGCGAGCCGCTCATCACAGATGCCACACAGGCACTGGTGAACGATCGCGTCATCACCATGACGAACAGTGGCCGCATCCTCCCGGGCCGCAACTACGATATCTCAGACAACTTCCTGCAGACGCTCAGCCGCAAACGAGCCGTGGACAGTACCCAACTCGTTCGTGCTGCCCAGTTCAAAACCATGATCCTGGACCCGCAGCTCCAGAGCCTCGGCATCTTCGATGTCAAATATAACGCAGAAGACGGCGACATTCTCGCTCTCATCAACCTTGCTACGTCTGGCCGTGTCGAACTACGGCCTTCTGGTGCACCCCGCGACAAATTCGGTCTTACAGATGGTGGATATCTCACGCGGCAAATGGATAAAACTCGTCTCCGTTTCCCTGTGAAGGTCCTTCCCACCGAAAGCTATGTCTACGGAAATCCCATCCTCGAAAGGGCGGCATCTATTCCACCTCCGCCGCCACCGCCTGTATCACCATACACAGATCTGGGACGCAGGTGTCCAATGTGGTTCGATATCCACGGTGAGCTTGTCCCTCGTCTCTGGACAATGGCTATGGGTGCCGTCCTCGGGTGCATGGTGCTTCGACCCGGTGTCAATGCACGCAGCATTTCCAACATGATGAAGCCAACACTGGCCCCCTGGGAAGTTATTCTATTGTTGCAATGGTTGGCCGAAGTGGGTGCGGTCAAGGGAGATGGAAATGACGAGTGTGCCGCGTGGCTCTTGCAAGAATGGTGGTGGATGGTTGTGTCCTAAGTGCCAAGTTCTAAGTTCAAAGTTCTGATCTCAGACCTGGAAATTTCACGAATTGTAAGAATAGCAGGAAAGATTCAAAATTTTCACAAATGCCGTGTTTGATTTCAATAAACATCTAGAGGTATCATGGTAATATGCACATAAACTCCGTACATGTAGTCCCACCCGCCGAAACGCAAAAAGCAAAGATATCGCAACAGTGATGGTCATATTTCATGTTCATAGATCGTCGACGTTGGCGACTCGTCGTAAGATCAATATGATCAGAGCAATAACGACGCCGACAATGGCTCGGTCCAGCCATACGCCCTCTGACGACTCTTGATCCAAGGGTATTGGTTGAGCAGGGATCGTGCGGGTAGGTGCAGGTGCAGGTGCAGACACAGGAGCTGCAGCTGCAGGTCTCGGTGATGATGCAGGTGCGGATGCTGGAGCTGGCGCTGGCAATGTGGCAGGGACAGCCGCAGTAAGGGTGGGAGCAGACGGCGCAATCGGAGTATTTTCGCCCTGATGGCCAGAAGCTTGAGCTGGCGCCTGCACCGGAACTTCACTCTGGTCTCGAGCAACACCGTCGTCCTTCTGCTTCTTCTCATCCCCCTCACCCTCCCCAGTCCCTACCCTAGCCCCTTCAGTCTCAACATCAACCTCAACCCCCCGGTCCCGACAAACTGCCCACCACCTCCTCATCCCCTCCAAATTCCCAACTCCACACTCGCGACAAACCCAACTCGTCGAAGCCCTCGCAAACTCCCTCCTAAGAGAAGGACTCCCCTCCATCCCCCCAACCTGCCCCTGACTCTCAGCTCCCATAATCTCCGACCGAATCGCCAAAAGCGCCGTGCGCACCCCCCAGGCCGGCTGCCATGTTTCCTCGTGATGACCCGAGATACTAAGGCAGATCTCGCGGTTGACTTCGAAGCGGCCGGATGGTGTCAGGAAGCGGAAGGATGGCGGGCGCAGTGGGTATGTCGGTGGGAAGGTTATGCGGCCGTGGTACAGACCATGGCTGTAGGGGGATGGGGATGGTGGGCCTACTAGTGTAAAGTGCCAGTCGTGTAGGTTGTCATCTGTTATTGGTGTTGCCGTGAAGTAGGGGCTTGGGTTCTTATGGAGGTCGCTGCTTTCTTTTAGGAGACGGCGGGTTGAGGGGGATGTCATTTTCTTGTCTCTCTAGCTTTCTGTGTATGGTTGCTGGATTGAAAGGCTGTGTATGTTGTTGAATGTGGATGTTGGAGGTTGGAGAGGATAAGAAGTGGAGAATCGATAAGATGCCAAGTGTCCCGTCATTATTAAGGTTGTGCATGCTTACATATGCATCTTTGCATAATATTTTGATATTTTGATATTTGAATATTTGACGTTTGAACTTTCAATGCTTAACTTATATCTTTACAGCATGCTATGCTACGCTTAATCCCAATCTCGCCATTCATCCGGATCATCACGTGAAGCCTGAGGACGCCCCACCCCCGGATCCAACAATCCATTCCCCTCAACCTCATCTTCAAAATCACTATCACCAGGCCTCGGTCTCGGAGACCTTGGCGCAAGAGTCTGCATGGAGACACTAGTCGGAGGCCGTTCAGGCGTGGTACCACGTTTCGGCGTGCGCAAGGGTTGCGCGGTGCCAGCAGGGTCTCTCCAACTATGACTGTTATCCAGGTTGCGCTGGTACAGTTCGTGGTAGTACTGCTGTTCCTCGGAAGATTCCTGGTCTCGCTGAGATCGCATGCGGTCCCGCGCTTCTAGGAATTTCTCACTGGGTTCCCAGCCCCAGCCGTCGCCGGTGGTTGTGCAGATTGGGAGAGGCCAGAGGAGTGGTCGTTCGCCGAAGAGGTGGAGGAGGTTTCGACGCCAGCCGTGGTCGAAGGCGCTGGGCATTTTCTCGTTGTCTTCGTAGTTTTGGTACTCTTGGTACCTTTCATGTTCGCGCTGTCGCTCCATTTCGGCGTATGATCGCGTCAGAGCCTGTTGGGCTGGTGTGAGGTGGTTGTCTGGACCTGAGGCACCGGACATAGGGTCTGTTGAGCGCGGGTCTGGAGATAGGTGCTCTTCACCTTCTTCCGCACGAGTGACTCCTGGGATGGCATTGGCATGCGCATCGATGATCTGGTTTCCATACCCTTGCAGTCGACCGGTCAAGCTAGGTTCCGGCTCACCCCAGTAATTATCGCTGGGCGGCTGCTCATTGCGCTTGCGGTCCAACGCCTTACGCAAAGGCGAGACATATCGCGTCCTCTCTAGACACTCGATGGTCGTTGTCCCACGAACAGCAAGACTAATATGCCAAGCTGTAAATCCCGTCAAGACCAACCCAATAATACCACCAAGAATCGCCAACAAAACGACATTCACGGGTAGAATGGTATCCATGTACTGGGTGTCGTTGAGAATCTCAGTCCAAACCCAAATAGAAGCAACGCTAAAAACAACCCAACAAAACAGCGAGGTGTAGATCAAAAATAGCAGAAAGGCTTTGTAGTTATACAGTCCCACGCACGTTGCCAGCCACGGGCAGTGGTGGTCCATCTTTAAGACACATCGCTTGCACGTTGAACAATGGTGCGCGCGGTCTGGTTTCGGGCACTGGCATTTCTTGCAGTACCGCGACTCGCCGGTCGAGCTGACGGTATATGAGGTGAACTCCGGATATTCGGAGACAGGGACGGCGCTGTATTCGTGGCGGTCAGCGCCGCGGCGGGTCGGCGATCCCGGGTCGGTAAATACGGCGACGGTATAGGAGAAGTTGAGGAGGGCGTAGAGTGTGAATGCGAGTGCCGTACTTGGGATTCCTGCCACGATAACATTGTTAGTATACTTGGATAAATTGCGTGTAGATAAAAAGCCTGTGCAGGCAGCAGGCCGAATGCGGCGTACCGATCCATTCACTCTTTGAAGGCTTGATGCCAATGCTGATTGCAACGTAGACCGCCCATGTTGTGAGGCCGTAGATAAAGGCGAGTGGAAAGCAGCTTGCTGCCGCACAGCAGTAGCGTTCACAGCGGAGAGCCCAGGCTCGAGGGCGCCGCTTCGGCCAGGAGGGCGAGGTTGGGGGTGACGAGGCCAAGGTGGCCATTTTGGGGGGGTTCACAGTACAGAGTTGGGAGTGAGGTGCATCGGAGAGCCTCAGAGGAATATTTCCATTATAAAACAAAGCAGAACAGAGAGATGAAGTCAGACATCGGATTTGGAATCTGAGTATCAGGTGAGATCAGGTACATGTACGGTATGCGTAATTTACTTCGCCACAGCCACACTAAAACTGTGGCGTCGTAGATATCCCGAGTCTATTTTGGGAACTACAGCAATACGAACTGGAAGAATAATTGATCTATTTACAAGGACTTTCTCTTGTGTAGTAAAAAGCTGGATATTTACAGTAATGCTAATAGATCTATCAACATGTTGATAGAATGCAATAAAATGGTCCAAACATAGCAGAAATAGCACGATCAAGTGCTGTTGGTGTTAGTGAAAGTCAGAGTGTTCTGCTTGCACCAGCCATTGACAGGCAGACAACTCAAGCGATAGCACCACGAGCAGTTCGAGGTAGGGTATTTGTAAAAGTCGACAAGCAACATAATGAAACCAATCAGGACCGCCACCAAAGCACCGGCGCGGACAACCCACCACAACCACCAAAGAGGCTTGCGGCCCTTGAAGAAGTTGATGGGATTCTTGGAGTTCTCGATATCCTGGCTCGAGTTGGACATGCCGCGTTTGCTCTTGAACATGTCCATGAAAGAGGTTGTCTTTCTGTTGTCGGGGGTAGCCTGGCCGGCTCCACCGCTCATGGCGACATATGGCTGGCGGGCCAGACCGATGCGCTCGCGGAGAACATTGGGGGAGCGCATGATAGTTAAGCCAATAGCAAGACCCATGATGAAGCCACCGATATGGGAGAAGTTGTCCAGCCCGGGAAGAAGGCCCAGAACAAAGGAGACAGCCACACCCAGGATCATGATAATAAGCTCGACCCATGGGGACTCACGCTGAGTCCAATCGTAAAGAAGGTCGAGCAAGTAGAGCGCGAGGATACCGAACAGGGCACCCGAGCAGCCGTCACTGGGGTCCAATTGGGAAGCATAGTTTCCACCCAGTACAAAGCCGAAGATACCACTGGCAAAATATGTCAAGGTATACCGCCAAATTCCAATCATGCGCTCCATGTCCGCGCCCATGGTCATTTGAACCAGCAAATTGAAGCCAATGTGGACGAAACCTCCGTGCAAGAAAATGGGAATGATGAAGCGGTACCACTGGTTGGGAGCGGGGTTATCATCTGTTGATCCTCCGACATGGGGATTGGGTACGCCGCCAAAGCCGCAGGACTCCGACAATGAGCACGACTGGTCGGTGGTGGAAGTGGCATTCGGGCAGGGCCAGAAGATAGTTGTGTTGGCGTTCTGGATTCCCTCCACGTTCTTCATGCAGGGATCGTAGCGCGCTCCCATGTAGATTTGGACGTATGGTGAAGGGCCGATCATCGGATTGAAGGTGGGTTTCGTTTCAATAACCGATCCTGTCAACTGGGCTAGTAGAGGAAAGCTTTGGTTAGTCTTCTCTCCGAGACGGTTAAGCGCCGAGAACCGAACTCACCATTCTTGACCAGTTCGACGATGAACACGATGATCTGGGCCAAAGTCAAGATATATGTCACCCAGGCGATCTTCTTCTTGAAGAACCCCTTCTTTCGGCCATCACCTCGTCGGCTATCTTCTAGTGCCCCTGGCGATGGAGGGTATTGTGTCTGTTGGCGCATCCAATCAGGGTTGTTGCCATACTGTGTCTGAGCTTTCAAGGGAATGTTCTCTGAGTAGTGGTCGCCTTCTGTTACACGTCCTGCGGTCTGGTATTGTCCATTGTCTGAAACAAAAGATTGTTGACTTTCTCTGTTGTGATAAGGGGCGGACGGGTCGTCATGGTTTGCGCTGTGGCTGGCGTAGCCGATTCCAGGGGCTATCGTCGGGGTTTGATGTGTTGAACCAGGGACAGCTTGGTCGTATGTTGGAGGTTGAGGGATGTTCTGGTGATAGTAGTCGTTGGCGGCCATGATGGGCGGCCGAGGTTGGTCTAGCAGGATCGGAACAGGGAGATCCTTGAAGTTGTTGAGAGAAAGTGAGATTGAAATAAGCTTCCTTAACGATGGAGAAGCCCTTAAAAAGCGAGAGTGTTGGAAAGTGAGGTGTGTGAAGAAGCAGGCAGTCACATTACTCAAAAGTTATTTTTGGGCCGATCGACGCAGACTCAGCCGCGCGGTCTGCGTGTGTTCCACTCCGCCACGTATTTCCTGGGTCCTCCGCCCCGAGATTCTCTGTCTCTTGGCTCAGTCCTACTACGGTATACTACGTTGGGCGAACGCGCACGCGATATCAGCCTCATGCCAAGCATTGACTACGTACCGCTATACTCCGCCCTGCACCAGCCACTCGGTAAATGGTAAATATATCCATGGTCATTGTTAACATTATGTATTAGACTGGTATCAATAGAATTCATGGGCGACTGGTACAAGTAGCCAAAGCAAACATAGCACCCACAGGAATTATGCAGTCACGGGAACCGTGATTCGACGTCGAGCGTTGCGTCGTGTACTCTTGCTCAATCATGATACGCGGGGAAGAGGGGAGAAAAATCAAACATCTGCGCATCATCCAGTCCCAAGGAATGGGACTGTGAGGGTATATATGCAAAAAGAACGAATGTGGTATATCCTTCCATGGAGGGAGAACGCGGTCAAAAGAACGGCAAAGGGAACGGAAATTGAGAGACGGACACGGAGATGTGCCATGTCACTGGAGCTCAAACGCGAGACCTGGCAGCCTGGGTATATCGAAGGCATTCAACAATTGCAACAAACCGGAGACCTGATGTAAAGGATGTGATTCCTATATTGGGAGTGGGCACTGAATTGAAACTGTTTGCCAGAAGACCAAATCACGATTGGCGGTTCACGCAGGACAGAATGAGTTCCCATGCTCACCCAGGATGCCCAGAGTTGCACCCATTTGCTCGCCGCTCTGGCCGGTCAGGAGCCACAGGAGGCGGAAGAGTTTGGCGTAGAGTAGTGACGGGAAGTAAAAAAGCGCCCAAGCCAGCAGAAAGAGCACGACGAGGACGAACGTGTTAGCCACAAATTTCTCGCCCGGCGTCATGACGTATAGCCCAAATGTGACTTCGTATCGGTAGTATTCGAGCCGTACGCGATCTATACCTTGCTGGACGAGGTTGCGATATTTGCGTGTGCAGCCCCCCTTGAATGTGGCACTGCTTCTCGCCGAGGAATATCTATTCATGAGCTCGTTCATCGCTGCCGGGGCAGGTGGAGAAATGCGGTTGGACGTGGACGGAGTATAAAACGATTGCATCTCGGTCATTGTCGCAGTTATGGACATGTGCTAGGGAGAGGGATATCAATAGGTGCGATGATCTCGCCAATGAAAGCGCCAGCCAGGCAAGGTAGGAGTTATCCCTCGGCTTTGCCGTTGTCAAGTATAGAGGAAGAGACAGACAAAGGGTAAAGACCCAATGTAAATATGCTTGTCAGAAGAGAAATGTACGGATGAAGGCGGAGGTAGCCAGACCGCTAGGTGTTATAGTCATTGGAGTAAGAAAAGCAAAAAGAAAGAAAGAATAGCATGACGCCTAACTACTTATATTTCAGCCCTACCTGCTTTGGAGGAAGGAGTGGAGCGCAGACTAGGAAGGGGTCGGAACTATCGGCAACAAGCAGGGAACTCGGAGCATAGGTCCAATTTTGAGGCATTCCAGATTCGATCTATAGAGTTAGTTTGCATTACTCATGCCTTGCCAAGGTTGCATTTGTTCTGGTTCTTGGCTTTGCAGGAACCAGGCACATTTCCGAAAGCTCCGACAACCCCGAGAGCGTTGCCATTTTCAAATCCCGTGAAGTAACCACGCTGCAGGATAGTCGCCTAGGGAGAACTTCAAGATGGGTCTAGCTAGGCCAATACATCCGACGTCCGAATGTCCAGCGTGCACAGTCATTAATTGAAGATCAGATATGCAGGACAATGACCTGACAAGGTGAACAGGAAACAAAGCAGGTGAGAAGTAGACATCAGACGAGGATATATAGACAAGTCGTGATGAGAAGATCACAGCCCGTCTTTATTGGGATTCTGCCGCTGATGTCATCGCGGTTGCCGCGTTTCATCTTCCCCCGCTCACATCTAAACACAACAACTACCATGGAAGACCCTCTCGTTCAGGCGCTGCCTCCAGCAACAGACTACCTGACCTACCTGACGCTATTGGAATATCAATTAACCCCAGAGCGTTTGCCACTTCTCCATAAGCTCCTGCAAGATGAGCAACTTACGACAAACATCGGTTGGGACCTGGTGAAGCTGCTGCTTCCCATGCTCCCCGCCTCCACCGACTGTCTCCAAGACGTTGCGCGACTGGGAAATCCCCGTGAAGTGATCTTGCGTGTCTCGGAATCTCTGATGCAACTCCAGCCCGAAGATGAAGACGACGAAGAGGCGAATGACGCGGGGTTGCCCCTACACATCTTACAGTTCAATTGCCTTCTCGGAATGCTCTCGGTACTCCATACACGTATCCAGACCAAGGCGCCTAGTCGATTTATCGCCACCTCCCTTCAAGCAGCCCTAGAGGCATACACATCGATGCCGACCAACGAGACCACTCTCGCCTTCCTCGAGTTCTTCCGTGCGGTTTCTCCATCTAAACGACCGGCTCCTCCTCCACGAGTTGCTAGCGAATCGAGTGTTCTTAAGGTTGCCGCAGCGTCAGCACCAGATCCCGAGGCAGAGGTTGCGACGCCATCTCAATCTGCCGATAACGAGACTCTTCTTGTTCGTAAATTCACACAGTTTGGTCTGCTTGAGTTGCTCAAGTCATATCTGTTGAGTTTCTCTGGCCCTGTGGACCCTGGTATGTCGTGGACTATTCGCATGCAGGAGCACCTGCATCCTGACCTGCGCCTACCCGCTCAGTCCCAGACTGATGCATATGGATCTACCAAGGAGCTCAAGGAGCGTGATATGATAATGGGCAAACTGGTGGTATGTTGATTATATAACTATAATGTTCCGCAAATTTGAATCATATCCTCTGACTGGTTATACAGGCTCTATCACGGGACGTTGGGATTGATAGCAATCAGCTTCTATCAATTATTTCTCAATCACCCACTGATCAACTTGCGCAGCTCGACTTCGATGAGCCACCGAAAGATCCCGATGGGATTCCTCTCGAGCGCCATGGCTCACTCCTCCTACTGGCAGCTCGGGCCGCAGGATCTACCCTATATGCCTCTGGACAGCCAATGCCCGACCTGCCCGTGTTCCCTAACCTTGCACAGATCTTCAACTACTTTGTCGGCGGCCACACAAGCCTCGATGAAATTGCATTTGGTCAGCCGCATGCACTCCTCGACTCCCTCATGGCCATAACGGTTTACGCTTTGCAACAGCCCATCAAAGCCACGCCCAGCGAAATCGAATTCAAGGAGTTCGTGGTGACCCTGACTGCGTGCACAGCCCGCCAGAGTCACGGCATCGTTCGCCAAATTCCGGCCGCGGTTTTCCAAAGCCATCCATCATCGGAAACCAGATTCAAGCTCATCTACAAAATATTGGAAGATGATCGCCTTGCATCTGCCCGGGACAGTGCCATCTCATGGTTGAAGGATGAACTGCTGCGCAGCGCCGATCAGTCATCCGACAATGTCTTCCAACACCCGCTCTACTTCTGGGCTCTCTTCCCGCATCTATTCTCCTCCGCCACCACCTCCGGTTCAGCGCCCAGCATTGTCGCAACTTGGACCTGTCTCACCCAGACCCAAGGCCCGCCACTTCACTCCGCACTGAATCTGTATTATCTGCTGCTTTCTTCGCCTTTTCTACGAGAGCAACTTCAGCTTGAAAAGACCGTCAAGGTTTTCCGTAGCCAGGTTTTGGAACCCCTTCGGCAGGTGTTCCACAGCTTCGAGTCCGATCTCGCTTCCAAGGGAGGCGAGGGTGTCATTGAAGCTGCAGTTGGCGAGGAGATGTGCCATGTCGGTAACGCACGCTCTGTTGGGCTCATTGGTCTTACTCTAGATCAGATTGAGGAGGTTACAAGTGATGCCTTTGGTTCAGATGAAGCCGATCTCAGTGACCATTCTGAGGCCGATGAAGCTAAGGTTTTGGACATTCAGAAGCAGATGGATGTTTGGAATTAAGAATTGGTTTAGGAAATTGTACAGACTCTTGATATGAACGTTTCAATGAATTAACGGTTCGATTTTGAATTTTGCATGAGATTTGTATATTGTTGCCTGAAAGCAAGGCGCCAACAGGATTTGCTTGCCCGCATAAAACGGCTCACATCCTTTCTTTTTTCCCTCTTGGAACATAGTTCTAGAAAGATGGATGGGAACATGAGCCAATTCTGAAAGCCCTCTATGGAGTGTGCCCTACGGGAGAGGCGTGAGATGAGTTACAAGGATCGACTACAATAGGAAGGAACTACATCACAACTTTTGTTCAAGTTCGAGTGCGGTCAAATTCAGCAAAAGGAACGTAATTTTGAATTCCACCAATCTCTTAATACATGTCTGATTTCATACACGTGCCATTGTCATCTTTTCCATCTCTCCTCTTGCCCTCCTGTTCTACCAATTCAATGAATTGATTTGGTAGAGTGTGTCGACTTTCTGGCTTGTGTGACCCGGAAGGCCCCATACAAGCGTCACTGATCTGAATATAGCGCCCTCGGAAGGCATCCCATATCACAGGGTCTCTTCCTGGTCGGGGATAGTAAGGGTCGTTATCCCAAAAAGAAGCGACAGCTTGTTTCACTCCATTGAAGTCCATAGTCATACTCCTACATAAATCAAAGTCCAGAACCCATAATGAATGGACTCCAAGGACACTATCTCCCTTTTCAGATGATCCTCCCCAGTTGGAATCATTAGGAGGCGCTAGAACAAACTCGATATCGTTCCCATCAATTTCACCGATCCAACGCATTATAGCGAGAGTTTCGGCCATTGTCCTCGCGTACTGCTGGATAGAGTTTGATGTCATGCCGAGTGTCTCCATCTGATCGATATGAAGTGGGTAATTCCGGAGAGAAAACGCGGAGAATTGCGACATACAATGTGGCTTTTGAGTTCGTCTTCGGCCTAGGTATGGCCTTATCAAGCAGTCTTTGTTCGGCTCGCTGGTGCGTATTTGTTGAGCAATTTTGGACGGACAGTAGTTGGTAATCAGCAGTTCCCTTGTGGTCTCGGAAAAAGGAGGAATGCGCTGAGACTGGATCATATTGCATGGCGTATACCCCGATCGGAACTTTTGCTGATTCAGTGACCACCAGTCCTGATCTGTTGCCTTAATAAAGTCGTAGCAGGTTGGAATCTGTATTTGAAGCCGTATTTGCGGTGATTCGTTCAGGATTGTTTCGTTTGTTGTGTGGCTGGACATGGTGAAGTTTTGAAAGGCCTGGAGGACTTGATGGTGCATTCGAAAGTCATTCTTCAGAGACCGACCCGGCCCACCATCTTCTCTGTTGAATGCATAGCCTTTCTCAGAGGCTGCCCAGACTGTGCCGCAAAACCCTTTCCTGATCATACGTTGTGGTGAGTCTTTGATAAGACTTTCACGCGTCATAGTGGCGTCGTGTTTTTTAGACGAGATCTGTGGTGAAGGGCCATGGAGATGCAATGAGTTGTTGATGAGACTATTCGGCGTCATATTGTTTCTGGTGTCGTGTCTTTTAGAGGGGGCATGTGGTGAAGCGCCCGGGAGATGCACTGAGTCTTTGATAAGACTGTTGGACATCATAGTGTCTGCGGGTTCATGGTTTTCAGACAAGGTATGTGGTGGGGAGTCAGGGAGATGCAGTCAGTCATTGATAGAACTCTTAGCAGCCATACTTGTAGCTGCGATGTTTTCTAGCTAAGGTAGATGGTGAAGTAAGAAAGGAAATACGGATGATGGACCCTCCTCTAGGTAGTGGCCGCCCTAGATCGACCAAGGATCAACATAGAAAGTATACTCCTTGATTTTAGGGATCTCATAACGAACCTTGGAATGCAACAAATGTTTTCATGATTAAATCCATTAGTTTCGTTCTGAACGCGCTAGAAACAGGTGGCATTCTCCGATTGTTGGCCCCTAGGGGTTCTCTAATTAATCCAAATGCTTCCTAACAAGTAATCCGATGAGAACCCCGGGACCCCAGAAGCTTGAAGACGAAATATTCGCGACATTGTGAGTACGTCTATTTGCCTATACCGCAGTCTGGATACAGCGAACCAAATTGCATCCATGAATTAATTATTTACACCCAGGGCATGGCTTCTACAGACCGGAGAGCTGTAACCATTCACCGGCATATGTCGCAGTACCTTGGCTTACTTCGAGCCCAATATTTTGTGAAATTTGGTATGATCTGCCCGACCTAGGTATTGGAAACGATCTAACATTGAAAGTGTAACGTGATATGACTCACGTTCATTGTATATCTTCTCCTTAGGCAAGCCTTGTCACATTATCCACTGTATGGATTGAGGCTCTCCAACCATTCCAGTAATTTAGCAGACTCTGATAGTGATCTTTACGCAATTTCGCACTCCTGCGTATTGTGATTCCTATTTGTCTTCGAGGTCACTCCTGCTGCTAATAACCCCAGTTCTTAATTGCCATAAAGTAAGATTTATGGTAACGTTATTGTGATCTCTGATCTCTTGATTGATGATTCCAAACGAGATGCAACTCATTCTGTGCTACTTCAGCGAGTTTGTGTTCGAGAATAAATAGAAACCTATTGAGATTGTCATCACAAGCACGGCATCGATAACAGCGACAGGATTCGGGGCAGCGTTTAGGGATGCCAGAATATTAGTTGGGGAGTCCATTTAGCACAAAGAGGCGCGTAGACTCACCAATATCATCAATCACCTTCGCAGGCGTACAGCTCGGATCACTGGAGGAAAGAGCACTCTGCGATCAGGGTCCATGATTTCCTTAATGAACAAGTGCGCCATCATTGAGAATACCCTTCCGAAATGCAGCCGCTCCGATTCTCGAACAAGGAACGCTCTCCCCAGTGCACCTCCCGTTCTGGAACAATTCCAAAGTCCACTCAACATTCTAAGGCTTCTCGATGTTCGCCGCAAAGCGCTCGGCATTTGCCTGGAGGGCGGTGGGAGATTGATTGATAGCTGCTGTGGGGGACTGCGTATATGCCGATGTCGACACTCATGCTGCCAGAGGTTGGTTTTGCTCTTTTGGAGCTCGCACGGTTTTGAATGGCTGTGGCGCGGGAAACAAGTTCTTTGCTGTGGATAGGTGCCGATTCTCTAAATTGGCCTGTATAATACAAGTGACTAAGTAGTCATATCACAGAGCTGGCAATGATGAAACGAGCCTCGTACGTTAGATCGTCCAAATGTCTTAGAAGGTCGTCTTTGATGGTCTCTCCGATGTCTGTATCTCGGGAAACTTGAACTCTGCGGATGCTCATCTTTATAAGAACTGGGATGCTGAGCTAGACCTTTCAGGAAAGAGTGAATGACTCCCGCCCTACTTAAGTAACTGACTTTGGGAGTGCGTAGTATTTATCTTACTAGCTTTTACGGTATAAGTACGTATAAACTGCCTTAGAAATTCGAGTTAGCCTATGTGTACTTGCGCCTGGAGGTATCTCTCCTAACCTCTCCCGACCGTCCACCTTAAATTACTTATCACTGCCCTCTACTCCATAGACCTCCTATTCTAAGATTATCGCTTCTTACTTACGTACGTTAATTTCCTTAGCCCGATAGGTAGACTAAGCTCAGCTCATACAACTTACTTATTTTGGCTTTGCAGGTCACTCAATCTAGGTGGGATGCAGGTCAATTCTTAATAATAATTCTAAATCACCAGCATATGTCCCAAGTCTTGTATAGAATTCGCATATAATTTCTTCACCTTTACATAGGAGCAGAAGAGGAAACAAGGATATATATATTGAAGCCTTTAGAACACGATTTCTAGGATTGTCTCTAAATGGTTCAGCTTAACATGATATTCCTACTAAGATATGATTCTATGTTAAGAAATCTCCGATACTGTCGTATAAAATGGCATGAGAAAGGCAGCATGGTCAACGGGGTCCCACTGTTGCTGTGATCAGCCGCGCATGCATGCGGGGTGAAGCACATGGCGAGTCAGCTTATAACTTACAAGTACTCTAGAGGTGTCCGAATATATTTTGACAACTTAGTTACAACCACTATATATAATAAGCCCAAAATAGCACACAGCATAGCACACAGCAAAATAGCCAAAACAGCTGATACACCGCCACGTTTCCATCGTGGCTGGGCAGCGGGGCGCATTTAAAAACAGTCCCCCGCTCTGCAGGCATCCTTGTTTTGCGGTCTTTCTTTTCTTTTGATCTTGGGTATCTTGATCTTCCGTTTTCTCTTCTCTACTATCGCCATGTCCAACCAAGATGACCTGGCCTATGGTGGCTACTACCAGGCCGAACGTGGGTCCGGAGACGGATCTCGCGGCTTCGGCGACACATTCAAGAAGCTCCGCGACACATACAAAAGCCACCAGGGCTCGTCGCAGCCTGGCCAGAGTCAGACATACAACCCAAGTGGCTACCAGGGGGTACGTTTTGCCAAACCCTCATCGGTACCGTGCTGACACTTATCTCTGTTACAGCAAGGCTACCCGACTCAAAGCGAATCCTCACAATACGGATACAGTCAGGGACAAAGTGGGCAACAGCAACAGCAACAACAGCCTTATGGAAAACCACCCAAGGAAGACAAGCTCCATGGATTCCTGGGCAAGCTCCAAGGCACTGTGACCGAGTTTGGGACCGAATTCGCGCAGAAGTTGGGGACCACAATCGACCCCAAAGCCTACGCCGAATATGGACCCACCAAAACCACCGAACATCGCTTTGGCAGTTTCGCTCCTCCCCGAGAACATAACGACGCAAAGTGGTACGTCGATGGCTGCTCGTATTTCTGGGCTGTGTCTCGCGCACTGGAGAATGCACGGGAGTCGATCTGGATTCTGGATTGTAAGTTTGAAGTTCCCCCGTACCGTGGAATGTGACGTTAAGATGTAATCAGGGTGGTTGTCCCCCGAATTATACCTCCGCAGACCCCCGGCAAAGAATGAACAATACCGGCTGGACCGAATGCTGCAAGCTGCAGCTCAGCGCGGTGTTCGCGTCAATGTGATTGTCTACAAGGAAGTGACACAGGCACTAACTCGTATGTATATCTCTCCGCATTGAATTCGCTGAGCTAAGAGATGGTCTACAGTGTCCTCCTCTCATACTAAACATGCTTTGGAGGACTTGCACCCCAATATCGCGGTCTTCCGTCACCCTGATCACCTTCCTGATCGTCAAGAGCTTGCGGCCTCTATAACTTCTTCTTTCCAAAATATGACTCTTGACTCAGCAAGCCTCAGTAAGATGTCCAAGGACACCATTAAAGGGGTTTACGGCATGAATAACGATGTGATTCTGTATTGGGCTCATCATGAGAAGCTCTGCTTAATTGATGGTCAGACTGCTTTTATGGGTGGCTTGGATATGTGCTTCGGCCGTTGGGATACCCACCAACATTCGATCTCCGATCTGCATCCCTCGGATGTGAACCAAACTGTCTTCCCTGGTCAGGATTACAACAATTCTCGTGTCCTTGATTTCGAAGATGTCGTTCACTGGGAGAAGAACCAGCTTGATAGAAAGTCCATGTCTCGTATGGGATGGTCTGATATCTCTGTGAGCCTTCACGGTGCAGCTGTTGAAGACCTGCGTCGTCACTTTGTCGAGAGATGGAACTTCATCTACGATGCGAAATATAAAGTTCGGAGTGACACAAGGTACGCAAGATTAGCGTTGCACGGGCGTCCTACCTCGTCAACTGGCCAACAGCAACCTGGCTCGCAGCAACTGAATCCGTATCCCTCGGGTCAGTCAAGCCCGCAGTTCCAGCAACAGGAACAGTCACCCACCCCATCCTGGCAACAGCAGCCTAGTCCAAAGCCCAGTGGAACTACTTCTACATACCCACCACCACCGGCTTCAAGCCCCTATCAACACACTCAGCCCCAGCCCCAGTCCCAGCAGCAGCCCCAGCATAACCAGCAACAATCCCATACTGGGTCATACCAGTCATATCAGCCTGGGAACACTTCGAACTACTCACCATCGCCCGCTCAGGTCTCGAATCAGTACCAATATCAGCAGCAACAGAATACGTCTAGTTCGTCTCACTCCGAGAATACCCCGTACCATCCTCCGCCCAGTCCAACTCCGCCCACTTATCAATCATCGCCGGCCCAGTCAAGTCATTCACAGAGTCAGGGTACACCCCAATACACTTACTCTGGAGGCTCATTCCCGCCTCCCCCACCTGGACCTCCTCCAGCTCAGAATACTGCACCTCCCAGTTATCAAGGCTACCAGAGCCTGAACCAGGAACAGACACCTTATTACCCACCACCGCCAACACAGGCCTCCACTGGCACCCATCAGAGCTCAAGCCAAAGCCAGACGCCTTACTACCCCCCTCCTCCGGGCCAGGAGTCGTCTCATTCCAACACGCGTGGAATATATGATGACCAGCATTCCGGCGATCGCGAACGAGGCTCGTTGGCGCCCCGCCGCTTCAAAGAGGATATAACTCAATACGGGAACTCCCTTCGTGGTCAACTTGCCGGACAAATCCACCAATATCAAGACCGACTGACCACATATGGCCGTCCGTCGTCGCAAACCCGAGGAAACATGTCCTGCCAGATTGTGCGCAGCTGTGCAAATTGGAGCAATGGCAGCCCACTTGAGCATTCAATTGCCGATGCATACTGCGCCATCATTCGTAACAGTGAGCATTTCGTCTACATTGAGAACCAGTTCTTCATCACTTCGACAGGCGAGTCACAGCATCCAGTGAAGAACAAGATCGGAGCTGCGATTGTTGAGCGTATCCTGCGTGCTGCCCGTGCTGGACAGAAGTACAAGATCGTTGTGGTGATTCCTTCTGTCCCCTGCTTCGCTGGTGACTTGCGGGACGATGAGACACTCGGAACACGCGCGATCATGGAATTCCAGTACAACTCCATCAACCGTGGTGGGCACAGTATCATGGAAGTGATCGCCAAGGAAGGCTTCAACCCCATGGAATACATCCGTTTCTATAACCTTCGAAACTATGATCGCATCAACAACGGTGGAACGATGGCTGCGGCCGAGCAGCAGAGTGGTGTCAACTACGAGCATGCTCAGAGACAGTATGACATGAATACTGCCGGTCCTGGTGGATATGCCCCGAGCACCACCCGAAGTAACTTTGACACAAGCGCTCCATTCCAGCAGTATCAACAAGCAGCTCATCAATTCCAAGGAAGTCATGCCACTACTAGTCGCTGGGATAGTGTTAGCGAGTGCTACATGCTCGGCGGAGAGGATATTCGTAAAGTGCCATGGGACGGTCACCCGGATGCTGAGATCGATGCATTTGTTAGCGAAGAGCTCTATGTTCACTCGAAGGTATGTTTGCCCAAATTCCATGATGAACCAAGACATTCTAACAAGTATAGGTGATGATCGCCGATGACCGGGTTGTTGTCTGCGGATCTGCAAACCTGAACGACCGCTCTCAGCTCGGCGACCATGACTCTGAAATTGCCGTCATTATCGAGGACTTCACGCCAGTAGCCTCGAGCATGAACGGCAAGCCATGGACTGCCAGTCGCTTCGCTGCATCTCTTCGCCGCGAGCTCTTCCGTAAGCATCTGGGTCTTCTACCGCCGCAAGACTATCAGCGACCGGACGCAAACTTCGAGCCCGTGGGAGTTCCCAACCAATTCGACTTCGAATGCCCCGAGAGCAAGGTGGTCGCCGATCCCTTGGCCGATACTGTCCAGAGTCTGTGGAACTCGCGTGCACACACTAACAGCGAGGTCTTCCGGAAGGTGTTCCACGCAGTGCCTGATGACACAGTGCGCAACTGGGCTACCTACAAGGAGTTCTATGAGTACTACTTCCACAAAGCTGACAAGGAGGCCGAGGCCCGGGAAGGATTCGCCCGGCCGGCGCGATTCCAGTGGGGCCACGTGGTCCGCGATGACTTCGCGCCTGGTGCGGAGGGAGCGAAGCAGGTCAAAGAGCTTCTCAGCCAGGTCAAGGGTACTCTGGTTGAGATGCCTTTGATGTTCTTGATTGAGGAGGATATCGCGAAAGAAGGATTGACACTGAATGACTTGACGGAGCCGCTCTATACCTAAGGAGGAGAATGTATTTGCCGAGACGGCACGGTCAATATGCTTATCATTGCATTTGCCTTTTTTTTGATTTGTATATTCTAAATTGCTACAGCTAAGCGAACTCAATCTTTTTTTGGTAGCGATCAAGCCCTGATACCGGAGTAAAAGATACGCCGACCGTCAGTCCTGAGCAATCAAAATACGACATTTGGTATGTTTTGATGCCATGCCCGGGCAATATTGTTCTCGAGAACAATCGTAGGCGCAATGTGGTCGATGTGATTGGTGGACCAGCGGTCCTTTTGTCTCTTAGCCCTATCCGACGAGTCACATACTCAACATTGCACTTTCTCAGCATTATGTCTTAATATTGTTCTGACAGTTAGAAAAGCTTCACAATGCAGCCATCGTCCGTGCCTGAGACAGGGGTGTCCTTCACGCCTATCGCTGTGGCATTACTCCATGAAAGACGGCGGAAATAACCAGTCTAAGCGGCAGCTCCTTCGGGGAGAATGCGAAACGCGGAGCGGAACAATATCAACTTGCCCTCATTCAATGTGCATATTGCAGACGTTAGGAACAAAGTAGGATGCCAGAGGTAAGTTTATCTGCATTCATGAGCTCCAGAACAATATGAAGCGAACCCGTAATGGGCGTCCTCGTCAAAGCAAACTCTGGCATTCTTACCTGACTGCACGCATTGCCGATGTCCAACGGATTGAATTTCTCCATTCAATGTGACATCCGCATTGAATCTGCCAATGCTAATGGCATCTCGACCACATTGACTGCCGAAGCAAAGCTCGAATATAAATACCTCCTCCTTGTCCAGCCAAAGTGTTTCTCTTCCTCATCACTCACAATCCAATCTTTCCAACACTCTATCCAATTTTCTAAACTTTCGCTTTTTAAGCAACCCTCAATCTTCAAGATGTCTCCCTCCCAGATCCAGAACGGTGCCGTTGTCAAGGGTGAGTAATATTTCGAATCATACTCTCTGCTCCTCATAATAATCCCCTCCTATCCCATCTCACAATCACATACTAACATCCCATCTCCAGCCTCTCCCGGTGGTGGCTGCGTTGTCATGTAAATTCCTTTCCATGATGTCTCCCAATTCCAACGTCCCGTCTCCCACCATGGCCTGACCTGAACGCCGCTGGTCAGCCATGGCCGACAAGAAAACGCATCAACATCTTTCAATCTTCACCACGGACTCTTTGAGAATGCTTTCAACCAATTAAAAAAAAACTTCCCACGAAAACATGACCAAAACACCTCTTTGCTTTTGTTTTCTCCTGCAGTCGACTCCCCTCATGCTTTGGTCCGCTCCGCTACATCTGTCCACCAGATAGATGCATGTGTCAACAATCATTTCTCATGATGGCCAGTCCATCTGCCCAGTCCAGTTCATTCCTTCCTCAGCACGAGAAACAGTTGTTACTCTCGACAGTTCCAGTTTCGTGAAACCGCCTGTTCAGCTCTTCGGCGGGTTTCATTTCATCTCATCGGCTGTCGACCTTTCGACTTTGTTCTTTTGTTGACTTCTTCGTGGACGAATCGGGTGGTAGAATGGCTTTAGCTTCAATTTTTCCTTTCAGCTACATTTCGTGGGATCTCTTCATACTCTAACATAAATTCCGTTGATTGAGCCTTTTCTTCTCTTTTTCGATGGGGTGATGGTTCCTTTCGGTTTTCTTGTTTGATGGATGGGCTTGATGAATTGGGATATTATTTGTTACTATTGGTCATGGTAGTCGATAGGAATTTGATCTGCCTCTAAAACTTTGCTTTTTGTTTTTGGTAGATTTTGGGATTTCTGAATGGGCTCCATTGTTCATGGTTCCGATTGTAAACAATCCGAGTATTGAGGCTGTGGTGCTATCTTGCTTGACTCTGCTGGTAATCTTTCTGAATATTCTTCTTGCATGCCGTTATAACCTAGTGCTTTATTAGATCTATTTACTTTTATAACAAAATCTCTGAATCCCTAGATGCCCACAAGAATAGCATATGGAGTCTGTATGATCTCCTTCTTTGGTACATTAACCGCTTAGAAAGAGATACTGCTATAATACCCATCTTATCATTGTTGGGATCACTATTGTACGTGGCAAATATCTTTTATTATAAAAATAAAAAAGGATTCACCGCCCAGGTGTACAGTGCTCATACTATTTGGCGTTTTAGAGTGCTAGTGGTAGTGTTCGATCTGTAGGGCAGGATGAAGTAACTGACTTGACGGCGTTGAAGGACTATGCAGTTCGGATGCATCTCTCAATTTGATAGATTTCAAGTGCCAGAATGTCGTGAATATATTAGGGGTAGAGACAGATAGACATGTATAGCTGATTTCGCTATTTAACAACGGAAAAACTATATTAAAGCAGGAATTTCAGATGCAGATGGAACGAATTGTTAAGTCAATGCAATTATACACGACTTGATCGAAATTACAGTCATATCTCATGAGTTAGAACAATACTAACAAGCTTCAGGGTTTAGGCCAGCCATCTAGATTTCCAAACCACCGCGACCTATAGATCTCATCGCCGATATTAATCTTGCGTCTCTTTCCGTTAATCACCAAACTCGTGTGGAAACCACGGAACTTTGTCCATAAGGACTGCACGTATATGAAACTGCCGTCGGGCGCAATATTGAAACTCTTCAGGTCCGACTGCGGCAGCTCCTCCCACTCCCCGTCAGTATACCCGTGGCGACCTTTGGTTGTAACCTCAAACCCGTGCAGGTATTTCTCGGTGACATTCTCATAATGTTCTGTGTACTGTCCTGTCTCGATATCAAACGCGTGGAGACCTCGGTCTTCCGACACAAGGAATTTCCGCTGATTAGGTATAGGTACTAGGTCATGCAAACCGGCCCACCAGGAGTATCCCTTGCCCCATTCAGCCTCGATCCGTTTTGCCTCGGGCAGTTTATAGACATATCGATCGTCCTTAACCAGTAGGCCCGTTTCCCTGTTCCAGGGATATCCAACAATAGTTCCGTATGCAGGGACCGGATCGCTGCCGTCCGCCGCGGCGTCTGTTCCAGCAGCCCACAGCATCTGACCCTGCTCATCCCAGATCAACCCGTGTATAGCTCGCAGACCGGTGATGTTTTGGAGAATCGGAGGGTTTGCCATAAGAGGGTTGGCGGCGCTAGCATTATAGACAAGAATACCGTCCCAGGCTCGCTGACCAGTAGTACCCACGGCGAGTAGATCGCCCGGGAGGGGTTCGAGTGTATGCGCATTCCAGAGGACGTCGTTTCTTCTACAAAGCGTAAAAGTAAAAAGCTTGTCGGTGGCTGGGTTGTCGGGAGTGTGGTTCATAACAACGGCAAGGTCACTATAGACGCCTCCGACGCTAGTGCCGTTATTCATGTATTTGATCTCGGTGGCATCATTCGCGTGGGCATAGAGGCATTTGTGAACATCGTGGGGGAGTGCTTGCGTGACGTCGTCGCGGTGGAAGCTCCAGTTCACGTCACCATGGCGGTTATGAATCTTCCAAAGGGGCGGGCGACCATAGACCCCGGTTATAATCTGGTGCCAAGGTCGGTGTCCGGGGCGGAGGCGTTCTTGCGGCTGAATGGGAGGGATATAGACATCGGCGAGAGGTTCGAAAAGAAGTGAAATCCAACCTAAGAATCCGACCAGCATGATAAATAGTTGTAGCAGGTCAGCTAGGGCACTGCTTCAAAAAATGAGAGGTCCATCTTCCCCCTAAGAAATGTCTCCTCGGATCTTCCATAGCATACGTATGTCCAGTGGAGAACGCAAGGAACTAATCTCTGTAACTGGATCTTCACTTGTTTATCTCCAAGCACTCCATACTTCGTACTCGTTCTCTACACCGGAGATAGCGCGACGCACTTTCCAAGTGAAGGCTTGGCAACTTGGCGCGGCATGTTATCTTTCAGCCTCCCTTATCCGGCTTAGCACTACACTACTTTATCTCAGCCTATCTCAGGTTGCAACACGGGTTGCCTTTCAGAAAACGGAGGATGTTTGTTATTGAATGCTTTGCTTCGTGGTCCTCGAGGGAAATTATTCCCTTACATCTTACCATTCCTCATCCTTACCAACGTACTGGCATGACGCTGCGAGAATACTCCTGCACAGCAGCGCCAATTGGAATAGCAATTCTATGGAGTGGAAAGGAAATGCCTTGCAGGCGGCTGTGTTGCGTCGTGATGTGGATATGTGTTGCATATTGATCTGGATTGGCAACATCAATCCAGTTTCGGCTCTAACCAGTGGCGGCCAAAGTCAAATGAATTCGCAAGAAAGAGGCCGAAAGAACGAGGATGACAGGCTAGGTACTTTGGTTGATCTCCTTAATTTCGAGCAGGAGGGAAATTCAGCGCATTTGAATGACTCGGTCGAAGCGATTATTCGATCTCGGGCCAAGAAGCATTGTCCCAGTCGTTTTAGAGTTTAGATCCAATGACACGCGGCTCAGCTTTTATTGTAGCGATGAGTTTCCGGATCATGAAAAACGTCGGTGAAATATTCCCATGCTAGACGAAGTAAATAAGGATCTTCAGGTGAGCTTACCTGCCACAGACTGCGTTTGTTTCAGACAAGCAAAGCGCAAATATTTAACTATGATTGACCATGCATGGACTCGGTGATCAACAACGCTTCTTAAGGATCTTACCGAAAGTTTGGCGTGCGTTGTTCGAAAAAGAGCCTATCCATCAGTGGGACCAAGCCGGGAAACCATTGTTTGAGGACATAAACGCATGGAATGCCCTCTCGAGGATCTTCACCGATATTCTGAAAGACCCGACCCTACAGAAAATTACCTGATGATGTACGCGCTAGATGAATGCATAATAGCTTGAGGTTGGGCTTCTTTAATTTGCGGTCCCAATACATGGCTGCTCACTTGGTGGACTAGACTGTGATGTGTTCACTTCTTATTATCAGGCAAGCAGCCCTCTGGCCAATGGAGTGCAATGAAGAAATGTTCATGAATCTAAGATGTTGGCGGGGGATTCACCTTAGTTCCGATGCAGGTCGGGCATGTGCTTAGTTTGTCTAATTGCCGAGACGGCAGTCATATCACGCCGAACTATGTACGCCCACCTTAGACAGGAAAGCCGAGGGCAATCCTCTCAGTTATCAGTTAGATCAAAGTAAAGTGGCAACCCCATTTGTGCCTGTCTTATGCAGCCTACCGTATTAAGGAAACTAAATTTGCAGTGTTACACATACAACAGTACTCTGAAAGCAAGATGGGTAGAGATTCCGCACAGAAGTAAAACTTTAGGCTCTCATACTTGATATCAACCGACTAGATTTTAGAAGTTATCTTGGATCTAAGAAGCTCTCTTCTCCTCCCAGGCGACGTCTGCATATCTTGTTGGGATTGAAATGATCAAGCACGAGGGATCCTTGTGTAGCCAAGCAGACCCTCTATATGTGTAAATTTATATTAGTCCCGAAACCCAATTAGACCGGATCAAAGTTCCTCTGATTCGCCGCTATGTTGCTCCGATGAGGTGGGTGGGCGGGCGAGCGGGCTAACCTTCCTAAGCGTGCCACATTTCAGAGAACAATTAGAGCATGATTTCATCTCCTACTAGATATGTATCCTTGCATCCAAGTTGATGGATTTGAACATCCAAGGTGGATATAAAAACTTCGACTTTCCTAAAGAAGAAATACATTGCGTAATGCCTACATCCAAGAAATCTGGATTAACAAATTCAGCTTCTTGGGATGAAGAGCTATTTATATAGGCCTAGCAACCCTGCAAATGAGATACAAAAGACACGATAAATTACCAAGCTTTTTCTTCAGACATATCCTTGCCTCTGAACTGCGTCTATCTTCAAGATTTCAGGTCCGGAGACGTTCATCGCACTCCTTGAACTTTTTATGTTTTTTGTCACGCACTGAAAGTTGAACTTGCCATCTTTCCGAAGATGAAGAACGTGAGAAGAATGCCTTTGAAATCCATATCCTTTTTGGAAACTCCGTTGTCGTCTTTGTCCCGAAGCCTACAGCATGAATGGGACGTGACCTTCCGGCTACTGCGGTCCAACGCTACAGGGTTTCTCTTTATCTTTATCGGCGGACTTCTTGCCAGAGCTATCAGTACACCTTTGCCAATGGCAGAGACGGCTTCATTAGTTATCACGACGATAGTTGTAGGCGTTCTCTGCAGCTACGTCTTCGATATTGCCAACCAAACAACGTCTCCGGAAGAAGATTATATCAATAAGCCTTATCGTCCAATTCCCGCCGGCTTGATCAACATTAACCAGGCGAGGGCTCGCTGGCTGCTGGCATGGACCATCGGACCTACTTTCGTGTATCTTCTTTTTGGGGTCTGGGCCATGCTGCATCTCTTGCATTGGGAGTTCTTGATCTGCGTGTGCTATGTGTGGCCCAGGTGGTTCTCCTGGTTTATGCGCAATTTTTTTGGCTCTTTTTCCTACTTCATTCTGGGACGGCTTCTGAATCAAGTGCTTGCAAAGGAGGCGCAATATTGGAACATCGGCTTTCTAATTGACCTCAGTATCTTCGCGTGGTTCATGGCGACGATGCACATACAGGAATTTTACGATCTCGAAGGTGACCGAAAAACCGACAGAAATACACTTCCCATGTTGCTTTCCCCACGAGGCTTGAAAGCTTTGCGGGCTGGGACTTCGCTCTTCATCGTTGTATTCAGCTCAGGCTTATCATTTGCCGGGTACAGGCGGGTGGCTCGAGACAAGCTTATTGCACCGGCATATATACTGCAACAAGTATCATCCTGCGTCCTCGCTTATAGGATCTGGGCGTCAAAGTCACCTGAGATGGATAAGATCACTTACCACGCTTACTATTACTTCTCGGTGTTAATGATCCTTTTGTCTTTGGTTTTAATATCTAAATAGCTTCTTGCGCTACTGTCACAACTAGATTCATACCATCCGATCCATCGGGCGATATGGAGCTGGCTCAGAGGATCTCCCGATCAGCTGCCAAGATTATGGATAAAATAAGACAGAACAAGATAGGACAAGAGAGGATGGGAAGCCAGAAGCCAATCTGCACTACGATCGGAGGACGCGATATGACGTGCTGAGGCGGAATTAGTTAGATAACGCCTTTTCATTTCTCTAGAAGCATTTCCTGCACTGGATGGAAGCCATGAGCATTCTGGGTCTTGCATCCGAAGTCGTGGGCAAGATTATGTTAGGAGGAATATCCCCACCTAGAATCGGATTACAACCCTTATACGAGAGAGGTCAATGCTTAGAAGCACTCTTATTCGTTTCGCTTAACCTGCTCTGATTTCTAGTTCTGCTATATAAGCACACAGTGTTTAGTTAAATACCTACCTCGTTTGATTATAGTGACACTATCTGGGGAAGTAAATGCCCTATAGAAGTCCTCTGTTTTTCATTCTAACACCGAAAACAATTCGTGACAAGGAGGCAAGGGGAGGAGTGGGATCCTACCTGTATGTTGAAAAAAACCAGAGAAAAGGGGTGAGGCTGCTGGCACCCCATGAGGCCTGAATTTCCGCCTGATTGCCGCCTAGGGCGCCAAAATGCATGTCAACGAGATGGTAGGTTAGCTCCTCTAGGCTTTTAAAGGCCGTGGAGCAGGTTGGATACTTGCGGTTGAAGTCAAATTTGAATTTTTTCAAATGATCCTCAATATAGAAATTGCCATTTTGGTAGTGAGAGGACGGATTGAAACATTCTCTTTAACGGTTTCTCTCTCTTAGCACCTAGGCAAAAGGGACATAGCCCTAGGTTTACAGGTGCGTTCCGAAAGATCATAGGATTTTAACGGAGCAAATCCGTCATCATCCACTGTCCAAGTATTTCGTAAATCAGGTGTGTCACTGTACAAATGTTGTAAAGCAGTGATCTACATTTACATACCTCTGTAGGGTTATCCTTGGCTGACCCACAGTGGATCTGTCCACTCAACGTCCCGGCTCTCCGATTGGCCTGATTATTGATCACTTCAAATATTGCACCGACTGCCTATGAATTCAGTAATGTCGAAGCGATCATCCCATGATTCTCTTCCGAAACATATGACTACTAATATTATTTACGTTTTTGACGTATCCAGAATGGGAAGCGGGGTGTACTTTCTGGCAGGGGGGCCGGGGGACGAGACTCGCGGCGAAAACTATATAATAACCAGGATACCCTAATTTTCACCGTTACTACTGGAGCTCGGTGCATCATATTCACCTAATCCAATCTCTATGATGGAATCAAAACCATTCAAAGTGGTCATCGCCGGTGGCAGCATTGCCGGGCTTGCTCTTGCCTTGATGCTTGAAAAGAACGGCATTGACTTCATCGTATTGGAAGGCTACGGCAGCATTGCACCGCAGGTTGGGGCTAGTATCGGTCTGCTTCCAAATGGTCTTCGTGTTCTTGACCAGCTAGGATGCTATGAAATGGTTCTGAAGAAGGCAGAATATCCTGTCGACAAGTACATTTTCCGGGATTCTCAGGGACAGCAGTTCTGGTCGTTTGAGGACTTTAATCGGGAGACAGTGGATCGGTTTGTGTATTCTTCCTTTTCTTACTAGGAAGTGAGCTGACCGTTTCTCGTCTCAAGTCACGGTTATCCGGTGATATTTTTCGATCGCCGCATGTTGATTGAAGTGCTTTATGACAAGATCCAAGACAAGTCTCGAGTTCTCACCGATCAGAGAGTTCAAAGTATTAGGAACGGTGCATCGGATGTCACTGTCACCACGACCACTGGCCGGGAATTTACGGGAAATATTGTCGTCGGGACAGACGGCATTCATTCAACTGTGCGCCAAGAAATGTGGAAGGAAGCGCAGAAGATAGATCCCTCGTGGATTGACCCTTCAGAGGCATCCGGTATGTATACTGCAACCAATGCATATATTTTGGCTGACCACCGAGAAAAGCACTTCCTGCGACATACTCCTGCATCTTCGGCATATCAGAAGGTGTAAAAGGCATCGAAAAAGGCACGCTGCATTCGGTATTCAACGAGCACTTTTCATACTTGGTCCCAAGCGGGCCCGGTGACCGGACCTACTGGTTCCTTGTGTTCAACATGAAAAAGACATTGTACGGCGACGATATCCCTCGATTCTCAAAAGCGGAAGAGGAAGCAGTCGCGAAGGAGCATTGGAACGACCGGATTACTCCCACGCTTCAATTTTCCGATCTATACAAGAGCAAGATTGCTTCAGTGCTCACACCGCTGCCAGAGTACGTGTATAAGAAATGGTACTTCCAGCGAATGATAACTATTGGCGATGCGAGCCACAAGGTACGTCTTCCCCTTGCATAAGGCCGTGGAGAGACTGACCCAGAGGGATCTGCTTCATAGTTCGAGCCAATTTCCGGTCAAGGCGGTAACAATGCCATCGAGACAGCGGCTTCTTTGACAAACCATCTTGTCGCGGCTCTGAAGCGCTGCAGTTCTGGGACCCTGTCGACTGCTGAGATCTCCAAGGTTTTCGAAAACGTGCAGGAACAGCGTGAAGACCGCGTTTGGGAATTAGTCAAAGCATCCCATGCACGACAACGTCTTGAATGCATGGAAACACCACTGCTGAAACTGGCTGGAAAGTATTTGATTCCAAACCTACCCAGATACAAATTGGTCGACAAATGGATCCAGACTTATTCCCCAAGTGTATCGTTGAACATGATCCCACAGCCGAACAAAGAGCGGGAGATTGCCTACTATGATGAGCGATTCAGAACACCATCATCCCGCGGCCTCGCAGGCGTTCTTATTTACGCTGCTTACTTCTTCCTTGCCTGGTTGGGTCATCGGCAACTGAAGATAGCGGGCACAGAGAACGGGACATGGGCATTGCTCCGTCAAGCAATGCAAAACGGCTCAATTCCACTCACAGGAGACACAGAGGTGCCTCTTCGCCGGGTTTATACTGGCCTTGCATCTCCTGACCTCATTCTCCAAGCCTTAGTGACCGTCTTTTCGCCTGCAGTTAGCAACTTCTCCAGAACAGAGCAGCCACTGCAGGTACTGTACTTCCTTGCTTCAATACTTCCATTGATGGCCATCTTCACTGTTGAAGGCTACCGACCGCGAAACAAATGGACTCTCCTTGCGATCCCATCAGTATGGGGTGTTCTCTATCAGCTGCGTGGTATTGGAGTGATCGCGCCAATCTATTTCGCAGCGAGCACTTACATCTCGTCTCCGATTACTTATTTCTCGCCAAGCTCGCGCAACTTGGCTCCCTCCACGGCTCGCGCGATACTTCCCGCTGTGTTGATTGGGTATGTCCTGCCGACGATGATGTTGTTCTTCCCCTTGGAGAATGCCCCAGTCACCCGACAGGCCTTCATCGCCCTATGGCAGCCTGTTCCAATTCACGTGGTTATTTTCACAGAGGTATTCTCTCGCATAATCAAGCGTGTTGAAGGGTCCAAGTCGGTCACGCCTTCAACGGACAACAAGTTCAATCGAGATCTGCCTTCGTTACAAATGCTCTACGCAGTTACTGGCTGTATCGCTGCATGCTTCCATCTTGCGTTGCTGTCCAGCTGGTTCGTCTCTGGTAGCAATTTCCTGGTCAGGACGTTCATCCCAGTGGACTCTTTTGCGCAGATATCCACACTCGCAGATGGCATCTTCATATTTTTCCAGAATGATTTCCTACTTGTTTCTGCTGCTAGTCTTCTCTGGACCTGGTCCAGTGTGTGGGACTTGTATCGTATGGGAATTTCGAATGTTTCCATGTGGGTATCTTTGGCAGGTCTGGCTGTTGGATATGTGGCGGTTGGACCGGGTGCAACCGCGGCGGCTGTGTGGTACTGGAGGGAGGGCGTTATGAGCCAAAGGAGATTCCGTTCGATCTCCCAATAGGTTCATCCTCCTAAATATGGGGCTTCTTGCAATCTTGACTCGCCGGTGAACGAACGGTCGTCAGGATATTGGGTTCAGTTTAGAGGCTTAACAGTAGAGTGTCAAGCCGATTGTGAAGTAATCCATTGGTGAAACATGCATATTTTCTCCCTTGGCCATTTGTACATACTACACGGACGATGGAAGGTAGTTAACACTCGGCGTAACCTTGAACGTTGCCGTATTAAATTTGTACAAAATTCATAAATCATAAGTCTCATATGGCAAAGAAGAAGCCGCAGGTAATTTCACCCAGTCGGACTCATCGTGGGAGTATTGATCCATCTCACGTTTTGGGATACTACTCTCTCGACATCAGATCGGCGAAAGCCAGCCACGCAGCCCAGCCCGACTGGGAGTCGGCTTAGTACTAGTAGAGTTAATAAGTCTTATCAAAATAAAAGCAAGTTCGGATAAAAACTTACTGCTGATCAGCTTGTACTCATCAATAACCTTCATCGTACCGGGTACTGATCCATTCAAAGCCAAACTTCCGGTCTCCTCAATCGACGGTATTGACGATAGCAGCGATGGGTATTCACCCGATCTAATCCCTTCACTGATCAAGTACCCCTCGATATCATGAACATCAAACCAGTCTTCATCAGAATGAACATAGGTCACGCCGTTCGTTCCCCGAAAGAGCTCCAACCTGCTCGGCAACGCGTCATGCGCTGGTGAAGGGAAATGCGTTCCCGCACCACCGTGGCTGATAAAAGGAAACCTAGTATCGAGAACAGGATTGCAAATGTGCAGGCTCACCACGCGCTCGAAATACGCTCGAATGTGCGCCCTTGGCATGGTTTGTAACGATAATCCGAACTCTGGCCATATGTCTTCGTCTTTAAATTCAAGGTTTGATAGGAAACGATAGCCACTTTCCGCAACAACTCTGAAGAGTCGCTGGGTAAAGGGCGTAGTGGCATATTGAATCGTGGGGGCGTCAGCAATGGGAGGAGATAATGATCTGGAGAGTAAAGCATCCGATGGATCATTTTGCAATAGAGTGTTTGCAGATGGGATCATTGCTGATGATGAGTTAAGAAAGCAATCCCAGAAGTTGGTCTGTGATGGGGGCTGAGGGTTGGCCGGTGTCTCTGATACGTATTGCCCCGGGTTGAAATCTTTGATCTGAGACAATTCGAGACCCGAGCTGGGTGCCGTGTCTTGAAAGTAAACGTCTGCCTTTTTAAACTGGGATACTATCTCGTTCCGGAGTAGTTGGACTGCATGGAAGAGTCGGAGTTGAGACCACTGCGAGGCACTTTGTACGACCTGGTCATCAAATGCGTGTATCGTTTGACCCATAGATGCAAATGCATTCTCTAATTGCTCGACGCGGGCTTTCAAGGACGATAGTTGTGATTGTTGGCGCGATCGATAGGCCCTTTGTGCATCGCGGACCTGAGCCCGACGCGTCTGCAAATAGTCAGACTAGGCTGTTAATGCGGCAGCTGGGGCCCACTCATATTACATCAGATTGTTTCCGGGGTCGACCTGACCTTGTTCGAGCAGACATTGTGGTTTGGGAGTTGTAAGTGTACAGAGGTAAGTGTCAGATTCGGAGATACCGGCAATCCGGTATAACGCGCCAAGACCCTGTTGGCGGTCATTCGACGTTCCGCTATTTGCACTATGGCAGTGTAAATGTAGTTTAAATGTGGTTCATGGCTTTATTATGATGAGCTATCTTTTTCTAGCAATAGTCTGCATATTGGATCAAACTTTTGAAGTCAAGTGTCACATTGTCTAAAATATATACACTGTGATCAAACGCTCAGTAACCAAAACAAAACCGCCTATAATTCATATAATACCCTAGAAAATAGACATACCCACAGTATTATCATAGTCGATATTCATCTCCACACTTTCAATCCGAGAAGTGCAAGTGCCAAATATCCGATCCCAAACGCGTGTCTGCTTGCCATAGTTATGGCTCTTCTTCCACCCTTGACGATGATGCAGATCATGGTCCTCGATCACCAACTCTGCATCAAACATTCTCATCAACCATGTCAGAGGGTTAGGCGGCGCAGCATGGAGACGAAGACCACTATGTCCAGCAAGTTCCGCAAACATAACATAGAGCTGACAAACATGCCATTCGTAGAAACCCATCGGCATGCCTATGAGTTTCATAGTGAAATAAGTCATCAACGGGATCCCCGCAATATCGAAGAATTCCTGTTCCGAGTCCGCATAAATGGTAAGAAGTGGGTTCGGGTGTTTCGTCAAATGATGCGTTCGGTGGAATTTCCAGAGACCGTTCACGTCGTGCATGATGCGGTGGTACCAGTAGAACCAGAAGTCCAAGATAATGCCGTAGAGACTGACTTCAACCGCAATCCATTTCCAGTCTAATGATATCGGTGCCTCGTTTGCCTTATATGTGAGGTAAGTTGTCATCAAGGGACGCACGAAGCCCGCCAGCAGGACCGATGTCAAGGTCTTGGAAACCCCTACATCCGGTACGCCATCCCGTTCATGTTTATCTCCATCCAGGAACCCATATTTATGGCCGAGTTCGCGCAGGCTTCGGAGTTCGCGAGTTGTGAATAGCCTTGAGGCATAGTAATAATAGAAGAAAGCGACGATCGGATGGAATTGACCGCCAGTGATCCAGTTATAGAGCTGGTGAATGAGGAGTGGGATGCCGGCATGGACGATGACCCAGCGGTTCAAGGCCCAATCTGAGACGTATGGTATTTTTTCTTCTTTGGAATGGACGGGCACTTCTCGATCGAGGTCGACATGGTATACATTTGCGTGGTCAAGGATTTTGTGTGGTATCTTCCATTGTTCTTTGTCCCCCGTGGGCCAAGTGGACTTCATTGAGTCTTTCGGATTTCGCGTGGTCGTCATAGTCGTAGTCACCTTGTATGTGCTGAGATAGAGTTGTTCGAGGAGTGATGGACCATGCGGCCGGGGCCCATCTTTATCATTATCTCGCACTTCACGGTGGCTTTGAAATTATAGGGCAAAGACCGAGGTTGCTCCTCGGGGTCAGTGCATGTGTTGGTCAGGGCCATCGAGTGCCGGGAATCTAACCCCATTGTTTCCCCCCGAAAGATTGTCCCACGTGTAAAGTTTTCAGTTTATGGCATCATAAACTCGGTTGAAAGAGCCTGGCCGAACACTGATTGGTGAGTCGCACTGGTTGCCTATGAGGGTTTAGTCTGGTGGGTCTGCCCAGACGATCATCGTGCAAGGCCTAGGGGTTATGAGCATGAGACACAACCAATTGTTGCGAACAAGGACGAGCCATATTTTTGAGTAGACGATGAAGTCGGAAATTTGTACAGTTTCAGCAGCGCCCGAATCAAGGTCATGGGGTTGATACAGTAAGATGTCTTTTTCCTGATGGTGTGGTGCCGTTACTTTCGGTTCGGATTTCACAAGTATGTAAGAATTGGGGACTCTCGGAGTCTGAATTTTGATGATCGAGTAGAGTAATCTTCATTCACAAGCAAAATCGGATCCCGGAGTAGATGCCTAGAGAGGTGTCCAGCCTCACAAATGCAAGGGATCCTAAGTAAGATCACGGGGTCGCGTCAAAAGGCTAAATTTATGCTTATTTTAAGCTAACTACACTTACAAGATAACTTTGACAATATTCATTTGTCAGTTCGATAATACGATGGATGCGAGATTAGGGATAGTTACATGTGTTAATTCGGTATCGAATCAGGGCATCTGATAATCCCACTAGGAAAGGTGCCATTGTAGAGAACTCATCTAGTTATACTGCGTATGGAGTAGAGCAGATACTTCAGAGCACTTCAGGTTTTGAATCAGATAACGCAAGTTATGTTTTCTGACAAAGCCAAACTAAATATAGATAGGACCCTAAACCGGTTTCCCCGCAGTTGTTATCAGATCACAACCACAGGATCATTGAACCATCAACCAACCCGGCCAATTCGAAATCCAACTCTGCGCCAGTAATATCTAGAATCAATCATGTCTCTCGCAACCCTAGACGTGAGTACTGCTCTATCTTCTTTAGCCAACCCCTCCTCCCCGCAACCCCGCTGACATCATGGGACTTGAATAAGACCACGCAACATCCCTACCTCCCCGCCGCATCTGCAACGCTCTTCAAAGCAAAGGCAGCCCGAAAGCTTAGCTTCGAGAAGATTGGTGAGCACCTCGGTCGCAATGAAGTGGCCGCCGCTGCTATTTTCTACGGTCAAGCCCGAGCATCACCCGAGGACATCGAGAAGTTGGCCAGTCTACTCGGGATTCCCAAGCAGCCACTGGAAGACCAACTCAGTGGCTTCCCTGATCGGGGCCGCTCTGTTGAGATGCCGCCTAAGGAGCCTCTGATCTACCGCCTCTATGAGATTGTGCAGAATTATGGATATGCCTATAAGGCGGTCCTCAATGAGAAGTTCGGGGATGGTATTATGAGCGCCATTTCTTTCTCCACCAAGGTTGAGAAGGAGACTGATGAGGATGGAAATAACTGGGCTGTTATCACCCTTCGGGGTAAATGGTAAGTCTATCCTGTCTTGATCCTGTTTGAGCGATTATCTAATATGAACAGGTTGCCCTTCTCCCGGTTCTAGATTGAGTTGACTCTGGGGGCCTCGTGTTATTGCACTACAAATACTTGGAAGCTAGCACATTAGTATCGAGAGCTAGCCAATTGACAAATCAAATTCAAATAAATGATATGCGGGTATCAGAAGTCTGTCGCATAAATGTTGATACACGAATGAGAATGACTTCTCTCATCGCCGGGTAAAGAATAAAAATAAACGACGATGGTAACAAACGGCACGTAGAGATTTTTCCGACAAAAAGCATAGGACTTTTACGTCGTATCCACTAGGTTACGGCGCGAACTGCCTACGAAAGATGCGGCGTTGACTTTGTTAATAATGAAGTTCTGTGTCTAGCTATACGATAGCTTACACTTACACTGCATGATAGAGGCATACAAAATACATACAGCCACACTATCTATGCCTTAGCCTTAAGACAACCGATTGCTAGTAGTAGTAGTCCTGTGACTTCCTACACCGGAGAATTCCGAATCAACATGGGATGCTGCTATACAAAGAGAAGAACGATGTACGTATGCTCACTTTTTGATCACTGCTCGCACCGGCACTACCCTTTACCCCAGGCTGCCGGCTGCCCGAACCCATGATAACCGCCCCTGGATTTCGGCTCGATTCCGTTAAAGATTTCCTCCTCCACAAATATCTTTCCTCACTCCACATCCCCCGTTTTTCTAAGTGATTTCACTTGCTTATATCATGGCTGAAGAGGCCCCCAAGCCAGTGGCTTGCACCTACTCAAGCTGCAAGCAGACGTTCTGGAAAATGGGGGACATGATCACCCACAAGATCACCCACAAACATCACTTCTACTGCCTTCCATGCGATCTGGACTTCCATTCTGAACAGGCTCTCTATCTACATACAACGACGAGCGACAGCCATATTACCTGTGCCCACTGTGGTCTTGAATTCCGCAGCCAGGGCGGCCTGGACGTTCATATCAAAAGCGTAAGTCTGATGCAGCTATCAACAGCTGTCGCCATACCTTTACAGTGCTGATCTCTCTGCTGTCCTTTTACTGCTATACAAATATTAAAAATTCTCCACAGAACCACGAACAGGTCAAGAAGGTTCCCTGCAACCACTGTGACGCCCCGTTCAAGTCAGCTTCTGCTGTCATCATGCACGTCGAAAGTGGCAAGTGCCCCGTCGTCAACGAGGAAGGACAGCGACGTGATGAAGCCAAGGCCAAGGCTCCCGGTGGAAAGCACATCCTGGACATGGGCCGGCTCGCCTCCTCGCCTGAGCCACAGCCTGCCCAATCCTCCGGCTCCAGCGAAGATAATGAGCGGGAAGGTGGCGTCAGACTTGACCATGCTTCCAACCCAACCCACCAAGCTTCTTCGGCTGCTGTCGCCCAGCGCTCCGGACCTTCCTCCTCCTGTGAGCTTAGCACTGACAGCTCCCGTGATTCCCCGCCCGAGGAGATGCTGGTAGCGAGGCGTTCGCTTGACCTTGAACCTGGCGGCGTATCTCTCTACCAGCCTATTCCTGTCTATGCCCCGGATTCTTTTCGCGATGGACTTGTCCGCCGCCCTGATCCCAGCGAGTTCAGCGGCCCACTGCCTTTGATGGAGCCTTTCGAATTCGTGATCCCCAGCCCTATCACTGAAGGCGTTGTGCCTGTCAACCAGTCAGTTCCTGTGTATGCCCCCGATTCTACTCGCGATGGACGTTTCCTTCCCGCTGATCCCAATGAGCAAAGTGGTCCGCTGCCCTTGATCCCATCTCTCGAGCAGCCCAGCTTCACAATCCTTCATCCTAATACCCGAAGCAACCCGTTTCTTTCGACCTTGACCCCCAATGTTGCAGGATTGTCCCAGCATGACATGAATATCCCAGGCCCAAGCGTGACTTCCCACCGCAAGCTCCTGAACGTTGACCCACAGGAGTTCTGGAATCCAGAGAAGGGCCGCTTCTTCTGCAACTGCGGCATTTCCTTCCTGACACCCCGTGAATTTCGCACTCATATCATCGTCGATGATGACGGTACTATCAAAGAGTAACCTGCCTTCTCCATATCGCATCACACTCACAACCAACACCCACCCCCCGCGGCCCCCTCACCCAACACCAATGTTTCTTCTACCCGTTCATAAATTGCTAATACTCTCAAATACAGCTGCCCCCGATGCTTCAAACGATTCAACACACTCGCCGCCCTTGTTGCCCACGTCGAAGCGCCCCAGTCAAAGTGCGCCGCCTTCGCTGACGACGACGTTGAGGATGAAATTAACGAGATTACCCGCGGATTTGCTACCTTCAAGAGCCACCGCAATGAACTCGAAATGGGTGAGGATCTGATCAGCATGGATACCAGTAGCGAGAACTACAAGCCGACTACCGCTGCTCAAACCGAGGAGGACAAGAAGTTGGCTGCTGAGTTGTGGCGGTTGAAGTTTGAGTAGATGACTCCTGCTGGAGTCATCGGATGCGACAACGGAAATTATCGTGGATGCTTTGGCTTGGTGCAGTTGCAGGATCAGTGCTAAGGCTGCAAAGCATTCAATGGAGAATTATCAGAAATCGGGGCGGAGAACATCGAAGTTAATTTTGCCCGTTGGGGTCTGGCTATGGGCTGAAGTGCTGGGGGTTTATGACTCCACGGTGGTATGCTTCGGCTTGCCGGATTTTGCGGGGGTCGCGGTTAGGGCTAACTTTTGCGGCTTTGAGAGACTCGGGACTGGATATGTTTTTCCGTATTTCCATAACTAATGCTTTTCTTTCTTGTTTCATTTTCTTTTATCTCTCGATCTCTCGCATTCCTTTCCATTTGACGAGAAGAACTAGATTGAAAAACCAAGAATGACAATGATAAATGAAAAAAGACTGAAAAGACCGCATTTAGATTTGCTCTAAAATAAAGGGTATTGCGAAGAACAGAAAAGAAAAAGCAAGCCCTGACTCCATCGTCGCACAGTTATGGCGCAGCGCAGAAAGCAGCAAAATCATAAAAACACATTTGAAGCATATGAACCATCCGAGCAAACCTCGGCCCCGTCCCCGTCCCCGTCCCCGTCCCCAATGATTCACATATCCTCTAACGACCATCATCCCCAGGAGTATCAGTTTGTCCGGTAATCGTAGAGAAAGATGTCGCAAGTATCAAGAAAGATTCATCGCAGATCGGGAGCTTAAGGGAGGAACCGCGCATTTAGCAGCAGTCCTCACAGCACTCAAAGCAAAGAAGACCGGCGCAACTAGAGCGGTGTCAGCCCGATATTCAAAACGGCATCTGTTTTAGATAGATGCGAAACACTTACACGCCGCAGCAGATATCGCCAGCGCCACCACCGCGCAGCTTCATCATGTTCTCCTGGGAGTTCTAGAAAGAGTATATCGTTAGCTTGGATCCTTCCACACGCAGGTATCACAGATCACATACAGGCTGCTCAGTAATCACACGGTCGGTAGAGGGAGCCTCGGGGCTGGTAGGTTGCTGGTTCTGGACTGTAGCGGTGGTAGCGTCCCAGGTTGCCTCAGGGGCAGGGGACTCCTTGGAGGAGAACCAGGAGAAGAGACCGTTGGCGAACATTTTGGGTTGTTGGTGAGGGTTTGGGTGGTGTGAAGGGTCGGTGAGGAAGATAGAAGTGGGTAGGATGGAAAGAGGAATCGTGAGTGTACGTGAAGGAAATCAAGAAAAAGATTTGATGGGGAAATGGGGAACTTTTATAGTTTTCAATTTTTCTGTACTATTGCACTATTGTATCAATAAAAGAGGCCGCGAATCACTCTCAGTAACCCTGGACGGTCCACTTCGGGTATGTCGGAGGGCGTCGTAATGAGGCGTGGAGATGGAACAGGGGTTTCTACTTGTTATTGGATGTGCTTGTTCCACTGCACTAAGCCCTGCCACGTTGATAATCAGGTTTCAACTGTATCATTGATTATAATATGTGGCCCTTTTGTTAAGCTCTTGGTTGTCAAACTGAATGGGAAAATACTTTAGCCGCAATATGGAGGAAGATAGCATTATTGAAAACTATCGAAGTATCGAAATATCGAGTCTCCACTCGGTTGGCTAAGCTTCGGGTAAGCTTTTCGTTATTTATAGCACTGTGGCTCAGCAGGTGGCTGATGCAGGTGCAAGAGAATAGAGTACAATGAGTTAACGTTACATGCAATCGTCATGCTCTAGAATTCCATATCATATGCAATATGCAAGTGATGCTGGATACTGAACGAGGTCGATAAGTCGAGACTGTGCCTGTGTCACATGACCTGCACACCCGGCACAACCAGGCCCCCGTGAAATTTGCATCTCCTCAGCCTCGGCCTCAAAAAGGACCTGGAGGTCTCCAACCCCACAACCGCAACCATGTCATCTCCGGACCCCTCAGAAATCCAAGCTAAGCGCGAAGCAGACTACAAGCGCTTCAAAAACTATGCCGCCTATACCTTCCTAATCGGCGCCCCAATCCTGATCGCCATCCCACCAAGGAAACTAGACCCCCTCACGGTCCTAGTCCTCTGCTCATTCGGTGCATCTGCAAACCACATCGTACAAGATCGCACCGGCCGCAGCATCGTCGACCGCATCGACGCCCGCATTGCCGGTTTCTCAGGCGGCTTCTCCAGCCTGCCTAGTGAGCGCGCGCAAGAAATTCAAGAACGACTTCGCGCGTCCCGCGATGCCCAGATTCGTCAGGCGGAGGCTGAGTTGTTGAAATCGCAGGCTGATGCTAATGCGTCTGGTTCTGTTAGCGAGGAGTTGGAGAAGCTTAAAGCCCGGCAGTTGCATGAGAAGGGGGTTGTGCAGCGGGTTTGGATGGGTGAGGAGGCGGAGGGGTGGAAGGAGAAGAGGTTAAGGAAGGAGCAGGAGGCTCTTAGTGAAGGAAAGGGATATGGTGATTTGATTCAGGAGCACATTTGGGACGTATGGACCTGGGGTGGGAAGGATCGGAATAGCGGAAAGGATGCTAAGGATGCCAAGGAGGAGTTGGAGGTTGAGAAGAAGGATTGAATCATCTCTCTTGAATTTTGTGCCGCCTTTCAGATCCAGTTGATTTGTCTGCTGCTGCGCATTCGTCTTGTACAGCATCACCCCTCTCCTTTGTATTATACTTGGCTTTGCATTGGGATTTGGCGTTTTCTTGCATTTGATTCCGTTTCCCCAGGGTTTCTTTTTTCGGGCTGGGCTAATACTACTGTGAACGAAAAGTGTACCGTTAGTTTGCGGGTATGTCAACCCTCTACAGTGAGATGCTGCTGCTGGCAAGCGTGTTTCAGTTACCACAAGTGCTGTAGGTGCTGCTCGTGTCCATCTGTTATGTAGTCCCGAGGTCGACTTAGCTGTCTAATGACGGCAGCCTATTCAATCGTCCTGGTGGATGGAACCATCTAGGTTAACCCAATAATTTCAATTTACGCAGTAACAGATGGATCACGAGCAGTATCTACAGCACTTATAGCATCCAAGTGGTCGGTAAAATACTTGGGTGGACTGGGATGGCTGCGATTGGTATTCCTGCTGGAAATCAGCTGTTTCTAGTCGTATTCTATTTGTCGTTGGCAGATATCTTAAACCTCCTGGTTGAGCCACAGAGGTGCTATCGGTGCTGTTGATCCTGGATGTACTGCTGCTCTCGTATTGCTACTTGTACAACTGCTGTCCCGGTCAATTGCTATCGACAGCCGAAGCAGTTGTAGATCAAGTCCAAAATCATCCTTGCATCAGAGTTGCCTGATTATTAGATGCAGCATCTCTCCAAAATTGCTACACCGACTCCAAACGAGATATATCCTTCCACATCACCTTCCCAGTCTACAATCTACATCCTACGTATCTACGAACAGAAACACATGTTGAGAATGTGTGACACATATTGATTTCACAAAGCCCTATAAATAGAATTCCTTGATTCCTCCAACTCATATCAATCAACCAACAAACCAAGAACTACCAACGAGCATGGCCTCGCGATAACTCTCAATCTGTCCTTGAAGACATTTCAAAGTTTCCCCTTTTTCCTCCATAAGTTTTCCTCCAAAGTAGATTCAAGTTCACATGTATGTGCCACAACATTCTCAAAGGAACAAAAAATAACCTATACAAAATGGTATCAATACAAATGTAGATGTTTTCCAAGATTCAAAATATAGAACACAGATGCAGATGCAGACTGACGGAACTCATGCAGTGCAGTTGTAGTCAAGCAGCACAGAAGGATCCAGTTGACCAGCGAGGATGGTCATTTTTTGCGCCTGAATAAAGTGGTCAGTCAATGTCCATACGATCTCCACAATCACAGTGATGATAATAATGGGAACGGGAACGTACGATATGTTGTAGGGCCTGAGCGCCTTCAGCGAAGGCTTTGATTCTCTGTCGGGATCGGGATTGGTTAGTGAATGTTCGTAGTGAATGTCGCCAGGGGTTTAAAGTAGTGTATTCCTGGAATTCACCTACCGGGTCGGTAATGAGAGCGGGCGCGTCGACCATTTCGATATCGCTCTGGTAGTGGTCAGTAAATCGTATGGAAGGGTGTCCGAAGAAGGTGGTAAGGTTGGGATTGTAGCGGAAGAAGGGGGTTAGGTTTAGACGTACTGGTTCATCAGATGGTGCATCTGTCATCTCGGTGTCGATGCCGATGTCTCGGAATAGACGTTGGAATTTTTTGGGCTGTTTGAAATTGTTAGAATTTGTTTGTTTGTACTTGTATTCAGGTTCATCTTTGGACTCGGATTCATCTTCGGACATATCTTCGTCTTCAGTGTCGTATTCGTCATCAGAGTCATATTTATCTCCGGACATGTCTTCATCTTCGTCATCGGGGTAAAGATTGGTACTTACTACGTTGTTGAAGTTGACGTTTTGACGACCGCCCCGTTGATTGTATCCACCTCGATTGAATTTTTGATTGCCTTGGTTGAAGTTTGAAAGGCGATCCATATCAACGTCTTGGTGTTGATTCTGGGAAGACAATCGCTGACGGCCTTGGTTGGCCCGTTGGTTGTTCCACTGTTGATTTTGGTATTGATTACCACGGTAAGGACCGTTATTGCGAGACTGATGCTTGTTAGCATAGGGATTGTGTTTGTGGTGACCAGAATGATATACTTGATTACTCCGGTTCCCGTTCCTTGCATCCATCTTCTTCAAGTTAGTACCTAGTCTCCGATCAAATGCATGCACAGTGGAACTTACAATGTTTCCAGAGCGAACACCGTTGTTTGGCCCGTTATTGCGTTTGTTATTGTAGCCAGTGTTCTGATTCCGATTTTGATAAGGAACTTGGTTCCTTTGATTGCCGTTCGACCGGTTATTCCGTATTTTATTGTAGTCGAAGTTGGTGCCAGGAGCGCCATTGAAACCGCCAGGAGCAGTAGTGGAGTTGCCAGAGGCAATATATGGTCTGCCAGGAGCAGTGGAGGATCCGCCTAAAGCGGATGAGGCGCCAGGAGCAGCCGAGGAGTCCGACCAGTTGTTGCGTTTTTTGTTGTAGCCGGAGTTGATGCCAGGAGCATCTTGAAAACTGCGAGGAGCAGTGGGAGGATTCGACGCATTCATGCGTTTTTTATTGTGGTCGAAACCATTGCCAGGAGCAATGGGCGCATCTTTCCGACGGAAGACGCTGGTGCCTCTGTTTTTTTGCGAATTGAAGGACATCTTGTCGATACCGGTCCTCAGAACTTGTGTAGTTTTGAGCGTGCCGCTTCCTCTACCCTGAAAAGACGTGCACAAGTCGGATCACTCAATTGTACTTCCAAGAGCCAGATTTCCAACTTCAGAGATTCCCAGCACCAATATTTTTGGATCCACCCGAGTGCTGAGGTCGCTTTTTCACAGTGTCCTTTTTGTTTTCTGCTAGTATAACGGGGTCCCAGTTCACACGGTTATTTCACCTCAAAAGAATGCTGACTCCCTACAAGTCCAACCACTTAAAGCCAATCTCCTGATCAGGCACACTTGCACAGGCTCAACAGGTTCAAGGGCGGAAAACAAGATGCTCTTCTTGAGATGGAGGTGGTTTGTCTATAAAGTCTAACGGCGTGGATGAGGAGGCGAGGATGGGTAATGCCGGAGAGGAGTTGCCGATGAAGGCGTCGATGAAGGCGTCGATGAAGGCGTCGATGATGTTGTCGATGATGTTGTCGAGGGTATGTATATATGACAAGTAGGACTTGTATATACCCCAAATGATGATACAAAGTAGATACAAACAAAGTTAAGATGTTGTGAGACGCTGATTGAGGGATGCAAGAAACTGGGAGATGGAGAGGAGATGGAGGGAGATGGAAGAAGGGGAAAAGGAAAGTGAGTCAAGGATATGGCAGTCTACAAGGGTTCTGTAGCCCTAATTATGTATTCCTAACGTCAAAGGTAGTAAGTAGTATTGATACTTGGATTCGACTGAAATAGTGTTCAAAGAAGCTTTAGGAAAAGCATCCATCGCCCAGCATGGAAACAAGCCGTTTTATACCGAGCCCTATGTATGCGGGATATAGATGCAAAGCAAACAAAGGGCATTGTCGCAAACAAAAAAGTCCGGAGAACAAAGAAAACCTTGGTCGATCTACTTTCAAGTCTGGTTGAACCGAGAATAGCTTCTGATCCTGCCGATTTGCCCTGGATTCGAACTCAAAGTGACTTGGTCCCCTGGTAGCGCTTGGTGGAGAACCTGGGGTATAGATCTATGACAACAGGAATAAATAGAACATCTGACTGCTAAGTCTACCAGGTGAACCTTCTCGGGGCAATCCCCCGAGCCTTTCCGGTGTGAGTCAACCTGGATAGAAAGCGACGTCAGTATGATCTGGCTGTTGGAGCGTACTGGAGCGTACTGGGCCAGGGCTGATGGACTCACACGCCGCTATCTACTTTCAGATTTAGAAGAAGACAATACATTGCTCGAGTGGTTTTTTGTTTTATATAATTAGCAATTTCCATATCTTGTCAAATAGAATTTAACTAAGGCCTTTCTTTTGACGTAGGTATTCTTTGTCTCTTCTGTGTCAGAGGGTTGATGTCACTATTCCCAATTAGGAACACAATGTCATTGTGACCACCCATCCTGGGGATGGGAGATACTAGGCGTAGACGGGGAGGACGGTGATAAGGGAGTGCACAGCAGGATTAAATACTATTAAGAACATAATTTAAATCATTCTACGCTACAGTTGCCAGATAATTCTGTATATAGTGCTAGGTACGGAAATGATCGAATAGCGTCGGTAGACTGCAAGACCAACAGCCCAGAGGAAAACAACGCAACGCAGAGTGTAGTCAATAAGGATAAATATCATTCAGGTTTCAAACTGCTTTGCGGAACAACACAGTTGCCATCACTTTTGAGCTAAGAATGCAGGATATTATACAGTGCAGGTAGATAGTAGATTAGCAGGCCACCATGCACATTGAACCCAAGCCACGACCCAGGCCTTCAAAAAAAAAGACCACCGAGTCCATACAGCCAGCTATAAAGGTCAACTACCGTCTTCTCTTCCTCGAATCAGCCTCATCCTCCGCCAAATCACCAGCCCTCTTCCTCTCATTCCCCGTCCGAACGCGCTTCTTCTTCGGCCGTGGCACACTAGGCGACGACGCCTCGTTAGACGCAAGACTCTCTCTCTTCCGCTTATCGGGCTTGGGGTTATCCTTCTTTCGTCGTTGTTCCTCCTTGATCTTCAGTCTGCGCTGGACTTCAGCCGAGATATCCTCTGTCCCGAGTGATGTCGACGTGACGTCTCCCTCGTCTTGCTCGGACGACTGAGAGACATCGCGGTGTCGTTTCGAGGCGCGCGATTCATCTATGGATGGGTCGTCGGGAGTTATTTCGGGGTCTGGGTGTGTTGTGTCTTTGTCTCGGGAGCTTCGACGCCTTTTCTTGCGCGTGTTTGCTTCTGTGTCTGTCGGTGGTCTTTGGGGGGTGGATCTTGAGGAGGAGCTGGAGGAGGTGTTTTCTAAATGTCTGTCAGCTTTGGGAAGGCGGGTGTGTTGCGGGGTCAAATTTCTGGTTCGAGGCTGTCGGGGACTCACTGTTCATCTGCAAGGAGGATTGTTAGTCGCAAGCTTGAGGGAGCATAGCCATGTGGGAATAAACTCACCATATTCTTTCTGGCCAGCTTCAGCTGGTTCATCGCCTGGACGGTCTTGTTCACCATCGACGTCACCGCTTGGAATGCCTCGCCCTCTGTTGCGGTATGCGCTTTCACCTGCGTCAACATCTCGAGGTGGGAGGAAAGGGCAGCTTCATGGCGAGAGAATATCTAATCATGCAAGAGAGTCCGGGTCAGCTGCAGCTCTAGCGCAGTCAGAGAAGTAGTTCTTCCTCTCTCAAGTCTCGGGGGAGATTTCTCGCGCCGCGACAGCTTGTTCGGAGCACAACAAACAGGACGTACCTCATGCCAAGGGATCGTGCCATTCGCACCATGTGCATCTGGATCGGCGCCATGGGGATTGCTGTTTCCGTCAGAATTCATGGTGGGCTTGGAATTGGAGTTGGAGAAATTGAAGGGATCGGCAGATGAACCTTCTCCGCGCCAAGAGTCTGGCTTAGATCGCGCCTTGTGAGCTTTAAGTGTACGACATAGAATAGCTAGTTATTGAACTGCTGCCTATGAACAAACAGATAGTTGATTAAAGTTTTGATTTGGTCTTAACGTGGTATCAATCCAATTGTTCACGCATTATTTTTCAATCTCATAGTACACAGCTAGTGAAACCCCAACGCCATTCATGCCCATAACCACCCATTTCACCGAAAGGATCAGATATTCCCAAGACAAATCATACAATCAATAACACAGCTACCAGGCACCGGCGTCAAAGTCAAATCGTGACAGGTCACTCTGTGCATCTTCGACATCTTTCTTGGCTTTCATGCGCATGTAGAAGATCGGACAGTCACGAGACGAGCAAATGACCTCACAGTGAAGACTACCTTGGCAACGCTGGCATTGAGTCCACAGGCGACCGAATCGGACTTCCAGGTCAGACACCTTGGTCAAGGTCTTTGTGTATAGTTCTCCGAGGCGAGGACGGCAGTTCACGCAGACAGCACCTTCCATCTCTTCCTTGCTGGAGAGGGGTTTCTTGCATCCCATGCAAGTCTGTGTTTTCTTGGCGAACTTCATCAATCCACCCAGACTTGACGCGGCCTTTGAGATAGACCGGGTGTGCTCGCCAGTAAGTAGCTGGCCAGCCTTCTTCTCTCCAAGGATGGGTTCGAAGATACGACCCAGGGGATTTGCGAGCTGGTTATCGAGGTAATACTTGGTGTCGATGGGAATGTTGTTTTCCAGGACGAAGATGGGGTCTTCTGCTCGTTCGTAGCCCTTAGAATCACTGGCACCCTTGATCATGACATAGGCTACACGGTCACCAAGTGTTGGTGCAGAACCTGCATCACGCTTGTGCATGCGCTCAGCAAGTTCGACGTGAGCCTGTTTGCCGGCATAGTCTTCTTTGCGCTTGGACAGCGCCTTGGTGATGACTAGTTTGGACATGTCGATCTTGTTTTGGAGCAGATCTGAGATAGTGGCTTTGACATAGCTGTATGGCGCGTTAGCTTCTTGGCCCGAGCGGATAATATGAACCACCACTTACTCTTGAGCGCCATCAATATCTCGATCAATCAAGATCTTGTTCAGCACGGTTTCAATGACGTTCTGAACCATCAAGCAATTGTCACGTCGCACAGTCTCAATACCCTTGGTATCCATCTTATCATGCTTGTCGGCCCTCGTCCAGTAGAGTCCGGCATATCGCTTCTTGTTGATCAAAAGATAGGGGAAATACACCTTCTCAAACTCAAGCTTGATCGGCTTGATGAACTTGGCCGAGACATACTCGGCAGCTTCCTGGCCAAGCTTCATCGCGTCTTCTAGTTCGGTGACACCGAATTTGACCATGACTGAATCAGTATCACCGTAGATAACTTGAGCATCGTGAGAGTATCCGTTGGCAATGGTGTAGCGTGTTTCCACTTCTTGTTTTGTCTTCTCAATCATCTGACGACCGTAACTTGTCGTACTACTGGCAATTGGTAGACAGGGCAATTTGCCAACTGTGGCACCAGTAAGACCGTAGACACTGTTAGCACTGATTTTCAGAGCCAGCTGACGACCGTTCAATACCGCCTTCTTGAACGAGTCTGTCTCAGTGGCCAACTCCTTCTTCGCGCGCTTTCTCGCGGACAACAATTCCTCAAGAATCTGGGACAAAAGGCCTTTGCGAACCTTTGTTGTGCAGAACATGTCCCCGTTGGGGGTGACGATGTAGTCCTCATCTTTCACGAAGTTCATCTTCTCAACACTACTCTTGTTGAGCAGGGTTGTGTAACAGAGGTTGTGTGCTTGAATAATCGAGGGATACAGGGATGCGAAATCGAGAGTGGCAATTGGGACACCGTAATATCCTCGCTCCGGCTCAATGACGGTAGCACCTTCATAGTCCTGTTCGTCTTGGGGCTTTGAATTGGGGATAACAAGTTGCTGCTCGCGCGCTTTTCGGAAAAGCTGACTGATGAACTTAACTTGCTGTCCTCGGGACAGAAGGAAATTGAAGGGAACACCCGTTACCCTCGCCATTTCTGTATAGTTCACCAGACACATCAACTTGTCCATTAATCGCTGTGGTAGGTATGCATCCTTCAAACAGTAAACTGC